GGCAGAGTGCAGAGCGACACGGTGGGACTCTATGGCAGGCAAAAGCAGTACAACAAAGTGCCGAAATAACAGCTGATTCTGACCTTGTCTTTTGCCGTGAAACAAACCATCAAAGCTTTTCTTTCCTTCCTTTATTGGAGTTTTTCAGTACAAATAGTGACGGTGCGTGCAAAATGTTGTTTCTTGCTGGTGAAAAAGGAAGTGAAAGCGCAAGATGTGGATAGTAGTTGGTGACACATGTCCTGAGCGCTGCGTGCGACTCGTAGACTGAATAAATGATAACGGCTCCGGTTACTGACGTGATTGTGCTCCAGGAAGACTGTCCTACTGCTGCAAGGAGAAGAACGCATTGTTTTCTTAGACTCATGTTAAGTCTTTCTCTGAAAAAAGGATACAACACGTGGTTTGTATCGTTATCTCTGGGCCGATACAGTAAAGCTGGGCTACCCAACTTTCAAAGCACAAAAAAAGTCTGGTTCTTTCTCTGGTTTTCACATGTATTTCAGACTTCTGTCACATTTAGATCAGAGGACACTAATACAAGCACTTTAAATCGAATCAATAAATGCTCTGCTGACTGAACACCATAAACTAATTACGTCGAGTGACGGTTTCCTAAAGCTGGGGTATAACTTTCAAATGACAACAACTTGCCTTTGTGATAAAAACCAGGTAACTAGTTTCAACCTCTAAAACTGTTTGGTTCTATAGTATTTACATAGATGTACTTTTGGCCTCTGTAATATCGTTAGAACAGCTTTTTAGGGTGGAACGGTGCAAAAGAGCGGGCCGCCCTCACTCAGCCAAGCAAATTGACACATGCCCAGCCTTTGTTTGTCATCATGATAAGGATTAGGGTTCATTTTCAAATATTTCTAATTTTCTGAGATGTTATATTTGAGGTTTAAACAAGCTGCCGCTGTGAGCCCATTATTAACATATCACGTAACAGCTGGATATATTATCTCTCTGCTTGTAAAGAGTCTGTCATGTGTTAGTTAGAAGTAAAAAGACTTTTGAACAATATTCAAATGTTCCGAGTTTCACCTTATCCTCCCTTAACTATCGACTGAATACATTGACCTCTGCCACAGATCTGGACAAACACAAGACAACATTATCTGAAGAACACCTCTGTCATGCACATTTAGATACATCATGTACCAGTCCTGTTCATATCTGTAGCATATCTCTGTTGCTCCTTCTTGAAATAATGTTCATTGCCGCCTTATAATAACCTGTAACCTTTCTGAAAATGACAATAACTTGTGTCAATTGTGTCAATTGTGCCAAAACGTTCATCGCTGTCAGTCTGATTTCTACGCACACCACCTTTTTGATCTTCCACAACCTGCAGAAAACAAGTCTGAGTGATTTGACAGCTTAAAACCTATATGCTTCTGAATTTATAGGAAAAAACTTAAATTGATATGGATTTGGGAGGAATAATTTCAAGACGTGAAATACAGATTCAGTGATATATTATGTGTCATAAAAAATGTCTCTTAAATAACCATTAGTCATGTATTTTCCCCCTCACATTTCTAACTGCAACAGTCATGAATGACAAAAGAAAAGGGCCACACCTGCTCAGCTGATCTGGATATATCGTTTTATTATTTCAACAGTAAATAGCAAAATAAAGTGAAGACGACTATGAAAAAGTAAAAGCTGGTTTCTCTTCAGTGAACAGCAGAAGATGGACTGAGTGGAGCACCGTTTAAAGTTTGTCTGGTTTTTAGGGTCCGTAAACATTCGCCTGAGTCCGAAAGTCACTGGAATACAAACAAACATGGACCTGGGTCGAGGGTTCTCTTGTCTTGAACAAGGCAAGGCCAAAAAAAAAGTTCAAAATTTGCAAACGGCAAAGACTAGAACGCTACAAGAAAATCCTGCGCAAATTAAAAAAAAAATTATATTTGAAATTTGACGTTGAGATTCTCACAGCAGAAGTTGAAAGATTTAGTCCCACTTAAAAATAGGCTTGGAACAAGATTACTATTCTAAATTAAGTTAGGTTCCAACATTTCACCGGTTCGAGGACGTTTAAGAGTTGCAATAGGCTTGAGTTAAAGGTGCATTGCGTAACTTTTCTGATGAGGTCCGCTATCATCTTGTTGCCATGGAGATATGTTCCAAGCAAAGAAATGGTAGAAAAAAAACTATGATTGTAAAATTGGACATGGTAAAAGCTACATCCTTACATTGGGTCTGCTCCCCTTTCCACAGATATAACTTGTCTTTGATGTAGATGGACCATTTAATGCCAAACTGTTTGTCATTTAGATGATTCCGAGTTTAAGACAATACACTTGGAACAGTACGCAGATTTTTTAAACTAAATTCAACGTTAATGTGAATTCATGTTCATTGTTAAAATGTTCAAATCAGGTTTGAATGCTGCTTTAATATCAGTTGATTTTGATGCTTTCGACTACCTTGCAATACTGGTGAAGCAGCCGGTCCTAAACTATAGCCGATTATTAGATTAAAGTAATTTAAAATCACCAAGATATATTTTAACAACGTCCAACTTTGTATAGATTTTATTCTGAAATGGCTTCTAAATTGTCAATGGTTCGTTGTTGTGCGGGACACTGCTTTCCCTCCATAAGGCAGCTATAATGAACACAGTAACCAATGGAAGCGCTTTGACTGTAAATGCTAGATTAGAAAAACAGGAATATTTGTAAAATCACAGATGGAGTAATATTTGTAAAGAGCTTTTTTGAAACTTCCGGACTTCAAAATGGTAGAAATTAGGGGTTCACCGATATGAGACTGGTGTTTAAAGAGTTTTGATCTGTTTAGTTGTTCAATATTTGGTGGTCATAGAAGTGGTGATTATTTTGTTGGTCAAAACATGAAGAAATTATTGTTCAAGTACATTTTTAGAATATTGTACTATACGGCTAGAGCCAAAGTTTCCGAGAATATTAAATAGAAATCGCCCAGTCAGTGAAAAGTTTACCATTCTGTCATTAGTTTCCTGGGACTTGTTATTTTTTCAATCCCTTCAACATTCACATGGAGCTATAATCAGCAATGGAAACGTATTGAGATCTGTGTATCCCTAAAATGCAAAAGAAAAAAATACCAAGTGACTTTTTTGCAGAGATGATGGCTTCAAACCTGAATTGGGTTCATATTAAAGCTGGAGTACCTAACTTTAAAATCACACAAAAACACAGCTATGTAATAATATCCATCGAACTCCAATAGCTCGATCAGCGGTAGTTTTCTTACATCACATGCATGTATCACAAGAGGAGATGGTGAGAGAAAAATTAAGGACCCCAGCTTTAATGTTGGTTGACGGTCAGAACAAGACAAATGTAACTGTACACTCAAGTTGGAGGCTTACGAATTCAAATTTTATGATTTATAAAATTGTATACACATGTTATAGTCGTATATTTGCATATTGTTTGAACATCACTTCCCATTGTTTCGCTATAATCGCCCACTTCTACTTTCTAAGACCCTAGTTATCCATTTCCACAGTGCATCCAGCAACAACTGCCCCCTAAACATGTCATTTCAACACTAACAAGTGAAATACAATCACATACTTTTTTTTCAAGGTCCACATTCGTACAAATAACGGAGGCTAGAATTATACGCTGATGATAAATTTGTCCTTTGGATATGTAGCAAGAATACTGAAAGAAAGCAAAAAAAATATACATGGAAACTGCTTATTCGCTTAAAAGACTAGGAAATCGAATAGTGAAAGGACAAAATGTGCTTTCCGAAATGTGTCCGAAGCAAAGAGAAAAAAATAAGTCTGCGGAAACGTATTTGAAATTACAGACAGAATCATTGTTATAAAAGACAAATAAATTCAATAGCTACTCTCTTTGTATATTTCCGAGAGAGGTTTTTGAATTGCTTCAGATTGCATGGTTTCGTTCTCAGCTACTTTTGTTGTGACCCCGGCCGTACGCAGCATTTTTTTATTTTATTTATGAGATTCAAAAGAGGGCATTTATAAAAGAGTATATGACAAATTGGACGGCCGAAAGAAAAGCCAAACGGGCCGCATATTTCCCGGGTACTGCAGTTTGTACATCCCTGCTTTCGATTGATACCAGAAAGGGTTTTCTTCCACGGCTTTGTTCTGAGGGCCGTTTCATTAAGACTAATAATGCCAATTTAAAAGTCTTAAAAGTGATGGTAGTTATTCAAAATGTCAATACCCATTTGAAATCCTGCGTACGGCCCTGGTTGCGTCCACATACAGGCTGGTGAGTGAATGGGAGACTGCAAAAAGGAACTAGCTTAAGCTAAAATTGCTAGATTTGTAGAATAGAATTGTATTACCAAAAGAGAATTCAACCTAAAATGTAATAAAAATACATGGAAAGTTCAGTTGAGTCCTACCTCCTACCTCTTTCAGTGCCCTTGGGGTTTTCCCTGTGATAAATATGAGACATTTGTGAATGGAAGAACTTTCTGCTTTGAAATGTTATGTTACTTACTACAAAGTGCTATTGTTATAACTGCATCAAAGCTAGTTCACCATTTTTGTGGAATTGTATGTCTGGTTCCTGTTTATATATTTGAGGCACATTTTCTGTCAATGAGGTAAGAGACGTTTGGAATTCCTCATGACTGGGTTTATTATCTGTCAAGGCTTCAAGAAATACAATATACTCAAGTCAAAGTATTGGGACTAAATCACCATACATCTTTAAAGTAGGTGTGGTAATTGAGTCATTTTTCTATAACCACTGGAACTACTTCCTGAATGACAAAAGCCCTCACCCCATTGGTTGGAGATCAAAGGAGGAAAGTTGAGGGACAATATTAAAATTATTTTATATGGAGAGATGGTTTCTTTACATTCTAGTACAAGGCCATGAGATTTATAAATGCCAAATTTGTGAATTTACAGAGATCCGATTTAAACTATGGACTATTTCAACTAATCAAGAAACTTCTAGCAATTTCAACTCAAGGATACGTTCCTTTTTGACAGTGCAGGACAGACAAAAACATTAAGATTTGTAGTTTGAGGTAAGCCAGGTGAGTCCCTCATACAGTCCGTCTCCGGTGTTGGCGCACGAAGGCTGGACGTACCAATTCCTGTCCCGGATGCGCGTCAGGCCGAGTTTCTCCTGGATCTCGTGCGGCTTCATGGCGTCGGGAAGGTCCTGCTTGTTGGCGAAGATGAGAATGATGGCGTCTCTCATCTCTCTGTCGTTAATGATTCGGTGGAGCTCTTGCCTGGCCTCGTCGATTCGATCTCTGTCAGCGCAATCTACCACAAAGATGAGACCCTGCGTGCCGGTATAGTAATGTCTCCAAAGAGGCCTGATCTTATCTTGGCCGCCCACATCCCAGACATTAAACTTTACATTCTTATACGTGACAGTTTCGACGTTGAATCCCACAGTAGGTATGGTAGTAACGGACTGTCCCAGTTTTAGCTTGTAGAGGATGGTCGTTTTCCCGGCCGCATCAAGTCCGAGCATCAATATCCGCATTTCCTTGTTGCCGAAAATCTTTGACAGGACTTTCCCCATTTTGAAAGCTGTTCATAAATATGCCAGTCCTTTAAATTGTAAAAATAAAACCACTCTAAAATGTTGAATGGTTTCAGTTCAGAGGAAAGGCTGCACCACGTGATAAGCAATTGTGGTTTTGAACTGACAAAAAAATGACTTCTCAAAATCACAATAAATTTAGAGTGCGGGAATGTCACAGAATTGTTTTATTTGCTATAATTTAGCTTCTTACCCCGTTTCCAACAGCAGCTATATGTCAAAACTAGCAGTCTCTCAAAGCTTGGTTGATCAAACGGCTTATGACATCATAATATTCAAATCAGCGTGTTGAAAATGTCACTAATTTCACGTTCAGTTCCACACTTCAGTGATTATCCAAATGAAAAGTAATGACTTCACCCACTTAGAAGGCAGCAGTGGACAAATTCTCTCAATGTAACGAGCATTTCAAGTAGCTTCTCTCGGTTAAAAATCCTCTCGGAGTCGCGCTGGCCTCAAAAAGTCCCCAGCAGTAGCCTGTAATATAATGAATCAGGCCCTGTAAGAGCCCGGGTTTCTCACTTCCTCCTTGGCAGCAGCCGGGGTGTCCACACCACACTCGCACCCGGATAAAAGCCTCTTCACGGGGCACACGATTTCAGATCCAAGTGGGTGAAAATAACACCGGAGAAGCAAACCTCTTTTCGCCCGAATCCGTAGCCAGACATCCAGGGATAGAAACAGCGAAAAAGGTCATTGATTCATCCGAGTTTCTTCTCTCTGTGACACACGAGAAGGGAGGGGTGTTACTACGAGAGAGGACAAGTTTGAATGCGGTGAAAAGGCAGTCAGGCGCGGGTGTGTGTGTAATGTGGTTGGAAATGTACCCGGTTGATGTGCCCAGGAGGGTCTAAGGCCGTGTGTAAGGGCTCGGGAGGCTCTGTAAGTCGGGTTCCCTCCCTCTCCGGGGCTCGCTGTCTGCGGAGGAGCTGCTGCTGATACCGGAAAGGTGCGGACCGGAGCGAAAGCCTCTTCCGCTACACGCAGCGCGCACACGGAGCATGCGCGGACGAGACTCTGCCCAAAACTGCAACAAAAAAAAAACAAAAAAAACCCTAAACAATAGAAAACACCGCGAAGCTTCTTTGTTATGCTTTATTTATGTATTTTATTTTATTTTATTTTACTAGTATAGTTTTCATTATTTATAGTTTTATTTAATAGTTTTTTTTTAATTTTCATTTATTTTATTTATTTTATTTTTGACTTATTGGTTAGTGGTACGTATGAGAGTGAAAATGCATAATTTGATTGCATGTTATTGTGCAATACTGTATACTATATTATTGTATGGAGGGGCTGCAGATGGCAACTAGATAGCTATAATCTGTGCTTGACATCTCTTCCTGGCATGAGCCTAATGTCTCTGTGCATTGTCTCTTCAAATAAAGACTAAACTAATAAAGTGCTAAAATTCTTTGGCAGTGGAAAGAACAGACCTGTGTAGTCTATGATCAAAACACTTCATGATAATATCTAAAACACTGGTGCCCAAAGTGCAAACTTGGCTGTTATTATATTTACTGTTCTAGTGCCCCCCCAAATAATTCTAATAATTTGTTGAAAATACCGCCAAAATAAATCTAAATGAAAAATGAAAACACAAAATATGAGCTGTAAACAAAGTTTGTAAAACAATAAAGACAATGCACACTCTGGTATAAAAGTACAACATTTTTTTTATTTAGCGAAAGTTGTATGTACATTTTACATACATTGTACAATTACAGTTATAATTATTTCAAAATGTATCGAGTTATTGAATAGCTGCTTTGAAAAATATTTTGTATAAACATGCATGGTCAAATAACTGTAGATATTAAAATCAAATACCAAAATGTAATTTTCTTAGTAAATGTTAGTTACTCGAAAGGAGGCATGCGCCTCCTGTCCGGCGACCCCGCGCCCCGCTCCCATCTCTGTGTGGAGTTTTGTAATTGACATTTTGTAATCCTGTTCATAGTTGCATTTGTCTCATATTTGTCCATGGTGTCAACTACAGTATGGTTGAATCTGACTTCCATAGATCGCCCCCTACTGGAGTGTCCTCTGGCGGGCAACGTAATTTACGGCGCATGCGCACTGAGGCATCGTGTTAGCTCTGCTCTTCGCTGGAGCGCGCCTCGCTGTTGTAGATTAAACGACATTAAAGTGCACTTTTACTTAGTGAGGCTAACACCATTTGATGGGAGACACCGGTAAGAACCTTCACTTGGACAATTGTTATTAGTAGCAATGCAAATAGACTATTTAGTTTGGCCATTTAAAAGACCACGGAGAGGAATAAAATGGCTAACATTAGCACATGCTAGCGCTAGCCCCCACGATCTGTAGCATCTAATGGAGAAAGCACCCGTTTACTGGTGGTAGCTGTACTGCACCACCAGTAACTAAACTGTGTAACACATGCATACAGTTGCTCTTTGTGTTTGCATACTATTTCGTCATAGTTTTGTTGTGAGATGTTTGCCTTTGCTATTTTATAAGCACTGATACCCCCGAAATAACTTGGTTAAGTATCGCGTGGATTGGTGGCAGATCGCTTTTAGTCGAGATTTCTCAACAAATAAAGTGCCTGTTTCTTTAATTTTCTTCCATAAAGTGTTTTGTCCAGATAGAATCCGCTCAGAAAAGTTTACCCCAGCGTGTGAATTTGTACAGGATTAGTGCATCTTAAAATGGCACCTGGGCGCTGAATAAGGAAGTGGCTCTCTGCTGTTCGCCACGGGCTGCGTAACATTTACTTTCATTCTCCTCATGAACTGGTTCTTTCTATCTCCAGGCTTTGTGACATTTGAACAGTGTTGCAATTTCAAAGGGACACATACTTGCATTCTATTACTGGTTCAGCTGTATGGTTAATGTAAGGGCTGTTGGGATGATTGATCACCATTTAAAAAAACAATTATGTATTTGGCCAAAACCATTGCAACTTGCTGTCGCTTTGATATAAAACTTGTGGGAAGCCAGGTCCCTGTATAATGTAAAAAAAAGAAAATGTTCTTTTATTTATGCAGCTAAAATTAAATTTAGGATCAGATTTATTATCATTCAGTTCCACAGCAGAATTCCAACATAGTCAATTGTAAAAGTTAAGGAAGGAGACATTTAGGATGAGTTTGACTGCAGTTATATTTTTAAGTGTGTTTTTTTCATTACTTGCAGAATTGTTCAACGGCGATCCGGTCAGTCTGATGTTGAACACTGAGTCCGCAGTCATGGAGAGTAATGGGGATGCGCTGCTTCCAGACCCAGCACTGGGACAGACCGGGGAGTGGCCCCTGGACCAAGTGGCTCCGGACGCACTCAACAACATGGTGGCCAACGCAAACCAGGAAAGCAGTCAGCAGAAGACTGTGGAGCAGGTCCAGATCACGCAGCTCAGACAGGACCAAAACACGGCTCCTGCTCCTCCTGAAGTCCCCCCACCACCACCTGAGCCAGACGCCACACAGCCAGAGCAGCCCATAACGCTAGAGGCAAAAGACGGTGAAGGTGAAGTTTGAGGATAGATGACTAGGAGGGATTTACATTTGTGAGATTGTGAATAGAATAGTGTCTCTTTAATGTCTGCCATCTTTATTCTGTCTTATTATTTAAGGGACAGAATTATATTATGCTTTACCAAGGTAGAGATTAATCTTTGACCTTCTTCAAGGTCCTTCCAAGAACGTAGAAAGTTCTTGATACGTCTGCTACCATTTTTTTATTACAAAGAGGCCGTTTCAGTTTAAGGATTGGAAATCACTGGGTTCCAGTGATAATTTGACTTGCATTAAATGGCCAACGATGGTTATCACAATGAATCAGTATTTTGGCACAGTCAGTTTACCTGCAATGGTGGGAATAATCACGATATGGTGACAGTGTTGGTAGCAGTGCCTGCATGGTTCTCCCTGTGTCTTAGGCAGCTGGAGTAAAATCCTCCAGCTGAAGTCCAAATCCTGATCATGATCATTTAGAGATGGCCCCCCTGGAACCACTGCTGATGTCCTAGTGGCATTAGAAAAATGGGTCAAATGTAGAGGACCAATAATCCTGTACCTTTTGCATTAGTCTTAGTTTTGACTTGACCAAACTGGTTGCTGCTGTCTAAATCTAATGTTCACTTTTTCTTTTTACCAGATGCTTCTGCGCAGCCAGGAGAAGATGGGATGGAGATTGAAGCTCAGCCTGAAGTCTCTACGTACATCCATTCTGAGCCCAGCGAATTTGACAAACTTTATAAAGGATGTGAGGAAAACTTGGAGGATTTTAACGGCTGGATTTACCTTCTGCAGTTTGTCGAGCAGGAGGTGAGAAGCTTTGTTAACTTAGGCCTAACATTACTTTGAGATTACACCTTTTTATAAACGCAAAAGTATTTACTGCCGACGCACTTCTCTTGTTTGCTACGTGTGTGCAATCCTGGTCTGAGTCTCCAGAGAAAGTGCATTGAACGTTGAAGTATGAATCTGCAAGTTTAAGACTACATTCACAGCATTTTGAAAAGAACATGCAGGAGATGGATGCTTATTCTTGTGTGTACTCTGCAGCCTTCTGTTGACCCGGTCAGAAAGGCCTTTGACCACTTCTTCCTGCGCTATCCCTACTGTTACGGCTACTGGAAGAAGTACGCAGACCTGGAGAAAAAGCACGGAAACATTCAAATCGCAGAAGAGGTACAGACACTGGCAGACTTCACATCTTTTAGAACAGTTGCCATAATAATACATTTTTCTAGCACTGTCCAGTTTGTGCATTGCAGCACAGGCATTTTCCCACTGTTGGATGAATAAGGCTTCTCAGCTCTACAGTATAGAGAACCAAGAAATGTAACTGTACCGTACCACTATAAAGTATTATTGGGTCAATTGCATAACATGCCTTGAGGGCACATGTGAGATTCATTCCTCTTTTTTTTGCTGCTTGCTGCAGCTGTTCTATAGCATCATGTTGAAGTAAAATCCTTTAGTGCTTTACCTGAGGCAGTGTCACAGAGGCCCCCAGAGTTCTCTCTCCAGGCACACTTCCTCTGCTCTTCCCAGGGGCCTCAGGGTGCTAATTTGTGCCACGGTGAAAAGCATTAAAGCTGTGCTCTTCCATAGGTGTACAGGCGAGGACTGCAGGTGATTCCGCTCAGTGTGGATCTGTGGCTGCATTACATGACGTTCATCAAGGAGAACTCTGACCCCAACGACCCGGAGACAGAAGGCCGCATCAGAGCGTATGTATTAACACGTTTTGTTTGCTATAGAGGGATAATTTATGACAGACTATCATCAAATCTAAACATCTTAAAAATATGACATTATAATTTTTTGATGTTTCTGTTGATTTTTGTCCAGTGCATATGAGCATGCTGTTCTGGCCGCTGGGACGGACTTCCGCTCAGATCGTCTGTGGGAGTCTTACATAAACTGGGAGATCGAGCTGACCAAACTGGCCCACGTCACAGCCATCTACGACCGGCTGCTGGGGATCCCCACACAGCTATACTCCCAGCACTTCCAAAAGTATGCACACTCACTGTTTTCGCTGACGACCAATCATTCCATATTTTGCTCTTCATGTTATCACAGTCCATCCTAAGTTTAAGAAATTATATTGAATTAGAGCCCTTTCATGCATAGAGGTTGAAACTGGTGGCTGTCTGCTCTGCTACAACTGAGCCCCCCCCCCACCCGTGCTGTGACGTAGCCCAGACCTGAGAATAAACGTTTTCCAAATATGACGTCCCGTCGAGAGCCCTACATCCTCTATCTAGAATCAAACTGCAATTATTTAGTTAACGGGTATACAGCAAGTTAGTAGATTTAAGATTTCTACAGATGACTTGAGAGAAGCACAAGGGTGATCAAAAGCATATAATATAAAAGAATAACTGTACCTTTGACATATTCTCACACAAAATCGTTACAGGAGGTATTTTTATCTATACTCAAGAAATTACCATGTTTTACTTTAAATGCTTAAAAGCATTGCACATGAGAATAATCAGTTATAGAGCTGCTGCTATTTAATATTTTAGTTTTCAAGATATCCCTATCGAGCAATCAAATAGATATTTTTAATTAATGCTTATAAGTGTATAAGGACGACATATATTATATATATGGGGCGACAGTAGCTCAGTTGGTGGAGCATTGGCCTTAAGGCCAGAAGGTCGTGGGTTCAATTCCCACCTCTGCACCTTCTCCACCGACTCCCACTGATGACTGCTGTCGTTGTGTCCTTGGGCAAGACACTTAACCCCACTTTGCCCAAAGCCTTCACTGAAAGATCAAGGCTATGCTCACACTCAGAGAGCAGCCGTCCTCCTGTGGACTCACCACCTGCAGAGGGTCAGTGAGGGGCTGGTGCTATGAGACTTGGGTGGCATCTCTGATTGCCACCCCCCTGACCCAGAAATGGATTAAAGGGTAGAAAATGGATGGATGGATGGAAGTGTATAAGGACAAACTACTTAAAGATGCAGAACATTTTTTATCCGGACACATTTTTTAAATATTGTGGGGCAACGTCCCTAAACCCCTCAAGTAGTGAAGTTTTCATGTGTTTTCAAATAACTGGAGATTACCAGATGTCTCAAAAAACCAAATCTTTAGTATTTTGGAGCGGACGTGGGATGCAGTCATCGCCCTTGTACTTTTCGCGCACCTGTCCGATTGTTTTTGAGTCGCATTTTCTAAAACTCCTACAATGGCTGACCCCCATTTGCCCTGTTGTGGCAAAAAAAGAGAAAATCAGCTGAGAAGGCGTTGTATAAGAAGAATCGTAGCCACGGATATGTAGTGCAACAGCAGTCGAGAAAATACTCTTGAATGAGTCTTTGTGATCATGATTTGGTGCACGGCCTCACCTGATAAGCAACACGCATCTGTATAAAATGTGTTTTACATATACATATTTACACATAGATATTGTCTCCCTCAGGTTCAAAGAGCACGTGCAAAACAACCATCCCAAGCACTTCCTGGCGGAGGAGGAGTTTGTGCAGCTCAGGGTGGAGCTGTCCAAGGCCAGTCTGTCGGCGATGGGGGGAGAGGAGGGAGAGGCCAGTGTCCCGCCGGAGGAGCTGCCCCCGGGCACAGACGACCTGCCCGACCCCGCCAAGGTAACCACCACACAATTCATGAGGATAAATGCTGTTGGAACGTTGTGCTGGAGCTTGTGTTTTAAAGATGGGACAGACGGAAGCGATGAAGAGTTGTCTTTATGTCAGCAGCTGAAGGCCTCGCTGGAGCCTGTCAGAGCCTGAAGGCCATACGCAGGTTGCACACGTACCCTTCCGCTTGTCGTTTGCACGCTTCTGGTGATGTACACCCTTGGCTGCAAGACGAGCCGTTTTTTGCAAGTGGAGAAAGTTTTCTGCTTAACAGCTGCCCGGTCTGACCAACTCCTCGTCTTTTGTGTTTGTGTAGAGAGTGACGGAGATTGAGAATATGCGGCACAAGGTCATAGAGGTGCGGCAGGAAATCTTCAACCACAACGAGCATGAAGTCAGTAAACGCTGGGCTTTTGAGGAAGCGGTAAGTGACTCTGCACTGCACACCCTTTCAGTTGGCTCTTGTGATCTTTACATGTTAGACAGTGGGAAAAGGTGGGCAAGTTGTCTGGACCCATGTCTACTTTCACCACTGGGAAGACTAGAATATCAATAAAAGGGTCAAGACAAACTTTGGACTTTGCAACACAGTGCACCCAGTTCCCCATTGCATTATAAAAACCTCTTCAAGTCAAAACACCTTTTGTTTGCCAATTTCCTTTTCTGATTCCATGATGATTAGCCCATCTTTGCATCACACCTTGATCTGCAGTGGAGTGATGCATTGATAAGATGAGATACTCCTTTATTGATGGGACCACGTTTTACTAACGCAGAGCCATACAAGTGCAGACTACTCATTCTGAGATTTAAATGAGCGAAATGTTACATGACGCTCAGATGTTTGTTACTGTAATCTCATTCTAACTCAGAAAACTCCTTCATTGTAAAATGATTGTTTCAAGGTCGTCCTGGGGGGTAACTGCCGTCGGTGGCTGTACTGATTTTTGAAGTGCCTTTGCATCTTAAAGCTGTGTTCCCACTGGATTGTGCGTTACGGCGAGTTTCAAGCAATGCAATTCCTCCGCCCATGCGAGGAATTGCGTGTACGTCGCAGCATGCACTTTGTCCCGCCTGGCAGACGTCTTGTTGTGGTGGGACACGGTGCTTGTGAACATGTCTTCACCCTGAGTTGACATTCTACTGTGGCTGTAAACAAGCTAACGTGTTTGCAGATACAGAAGTACCCGCCACTTCCTTCCTGTGTTTGTCGCAGGGCAGTACGACAGATTGACTTAACTCATGCTGCTGAAATTTTGTGAACGAGCATCCATGCGTCCATCAACACACGTCCATGCATCGGCGGTGGGAACACAGCTTTAGACTTACTTTTAGGGCGTGTCCTTATTCACTGGCTTTTGAAAATGCTTGTTGTGTAGTCCTCGTTTTTGATTTTGTTCACGTTTTCCTCATTCTGTATCTCCCATAGATTCTGCTGAAGCTGTGGTGGCACAGGCGATTCATTTCCATTGTGTAGACATGCAAATATACATTGCATTAAACCATAAAATGCTTTTGTTTAAAGAAAGTAGTTGTACTTTTAAGTGGATTATAATATTTATTAGACTGTGACTGGCATAGTCACAATAAACGCTGAAGTAATTTGTTTTTCTTGTTTTTGCAAGGCAGCCCCAGAGTCTTGAAAGAAAAAACCTTACAATTTGGCTCCTTCCTGATCCATGTTTAAACAATTCTCCCTTTAACTTATTCCATTAGAATTACTTTACAGAAATGGAAGAAACTAGAGGTTAGTTTACTTATTTATTCCGGTGAGTTTGGCCAATGTTTTGAGTTGATGAAATCTCACTCATTCTCAATAGAGTCTGTAAATCACTCGTTTTGAAAGCATAAGAAAGTTCAAACCTATATTCAATACAATTTGGCACTTCAAAATGTCTCTCAAATGTAAAAGTAAAATGCACATCAAAAGCACAATGTTTGGTTCTTTTCTTTGAAATTAACACGTATCCATCCAGGCAATGTGATGTGTAATAATCTTCAGATTCTCTTATTGCAAACTAATGCAGAATCAAAACTACCTAAAATATATATCTATATAATGTAGTTTTTTTTTTTACAGCCATGGACTTTCCTGTACATAATATGTATTATACTGCGCCACAAATTTCACTTTTCACTATATAGTGAAAAGAAGCGCATTATGTCCTCTTTCAAAACCTGGAGCTTTTCTGCTTGATTTTATTACACCGCATGTGTTTGGAAATGACTGTTTGTGAAGTGTCCTCTGGAATGAACACTGATCGTCTTGCATGACTGCGACCACTCAAACTACCCCCTTCTTTCCCATTTCAGATTAAAAGACCTTACTTTCACGTCAAATCCTTAGAGAAGACACAGCTGCAAAACTGGAAGGAGTACCTGGATTTTGAGATAGAAAATGGCACCCCGGAGAGAGCGGTGGTTCTGTTTGAAAGATGCCTCATCGCTTGTGCTCTCTACGAAGAGTTCTGGATCAAGGTAACGCCCGCGCCGATATTCCACTCCGCGCAAGCTCACCATCTCCCCCTCCCATCATGAACGATAATCTCTACGCCTCAGTAACCAGACTGTTTGCGTGTAACGTTTGATATTTGACTGTATCTGTTGTATTAGGGGATGGCCAGCTTTGCCACACCAGATATGGCCGCAGAATTTGCCCAACTACTGCGTTGCATCGTCTCTACTCCCTCTACCTTACAGAAAATTATCTAATTGGTTCCATGAAGGTGCTGATGGGTTTACACAGACAATTTTAAGATCGATCTATGTCTAATGAAGAATCGCCTCTCCCTCCAAACCAAAACTTTAAATGTGCTTTTCTTTCTCCTTTTGTTTCTTTTCTATCTTTATTTCCCTCCTCCTCCTCTCTGCTTCTTGCGTTTCCTCCACTTTCCTCCTTGGCTGTGAAGTACGCAAAATATCTAGAGAGCTACAGCACGGATGGAGTGAGGCACATATACAAGAAGGCATGCATGGTTCATCTCCCCCGGAAGCCCACCATCCACCTGCTCTGGGCCGCCTTTGAGGAGCAGCAAGGTGAGGCCTTTACACCTCTTTAACCTGTGTGCCGTTGTTTCATAAGTAAACCAATTACGGCCCAATATTATAACATTTTGAAATATCATCCCCAACTTCTTCCAATCCGGCAACTGGCTTATTCCCAACATGACGTTAGTATTGGGTAATTTCAAATAATAATAATAAAATCTGTAAATCAGTACTGTAAATATGCACTATTTCTGATTTGAATGTGCGGTGTATTAATAGATTAATAGATGTTATTTTCAATAATCATAGATTAATTGTCACATTCCTAGTTCAAACAAAAGTTTGCCTAAATAGAAAAATCACTTTGTCTCCATCTGTCATCACTGAGTTCAATGTGCTCCAGTCTTGCATGAGGAAATTGAAGTCTAATTGAAAGAATATTTGGCCAACTTTTTATTCATTAATTTGTACCCTAAAAGCACCATGACCTGTTTGTGTGGTGCCTTCAGGTCAGGTAGAGGAGGCCCGCAGCATCCTTCAGTCCCTGGAGGTCACAGTCCCCGGTTTGGCTGTGGTGCGTCTGCGGCGGGTGAGTCTGGAGCGGAGACACGGCTGCATGGAGGACGCTGAGGTGCTACTGACCGACGCCCTGGCTACCGCCAAGACGCCCACAGAGGCCTCCTTCTTCGCAGTCAAACTGGCACGGCACTTTCTGAAGCTGCACAAAAACCAAGAGCGCGCAAAGAAAATCCTGCAGGAGGCCATCCAGAGGGACCCGGTGAGAGGAGCCCTCCCATTTACCTTAATGTGTAGAATGGGATAACATTTCAGGATAACATTTGGGTACATAGTAAGTGGGAAATTAAAGCTTGGGTACTTCATTTTCAAACAAAGACAAATTTGAACTACTCCACCCCAAACTACTAATGTGTTAAATGTGGGTCAGTGACTCAAATAAGTCCCTAAATGTCCGTGCCTGCTACTGCCGAATGTTCACAGCACCCACTCTTGTTTTTATCCAGTTCATTACAATAGTGAAGTATTGTAGCACAGAGCGGGACAGAAACAGACTGAACAAGCTGGTCAGGAGGGCCAGCTCCACTCTGGGCTGCTCCCTGGACTCTGTGGAGGAGGTGAGGGACAGGAGGGTGCTAGCCAAAGCCACCTCCATCATGAACAATACCTCCCACCCACTGCACAGGACTGTAGAGGAGCTGAGGAGCTCCTTCAGTGGAAGACTGAGGCACCCTCAGTGTAGGAAGGAGCGCTACCGCAGGGCCTTTATCCCCACCGCTGTCAGACTGTACAATAAGTCACTTGTCACTTTTATTGTACATATATATCCTGCATGTAACATTTTTGCACATTTCCTCCCTTTGCACAATCTGAGTGTCTCTATCCATGCCAAATGTGAGCCTTTTTGTGATAACCCTGTTCTGTGTGGCTTTCTCTAGGCGAGTCCTAAGCTGTACTTGAACCTCCTGGAGCTTGAGTTTAATGGGGACTTTGCACAGAACCAGACTGAGATCATGTCCTGTTTCGACCTCGCCATCAAGAGCCCCATGAGTCTGGAGTCCAGGCTGCTCTTCGCCCAGCGCAAAGTGGAGTTCCTGGAGGACTTTGGCACAGACGTCAACATGTGAGTTTGTCACAAGGATGTTGAGACATACTCTTTAAACATCAGGAGTGTATTTTGACTTGGTAACTTGAATATAGACCAGGCCACTCATCGCCTCATGTTGGCGATCAAAAATTGGACTGCACAATCATCCGCGTGTCGTCTTCAGTAGAACACTTTTTTTAGACCGATTCAGGCGTGTGTAAATGACAGAGGGTGACCTTTGGGAAGTTGATTTTTAGCATGTTGTCCCTTTTTGAATACAATCATGTCTTTTCTTCAGGCTTGTAGCTGCTCATGATGAACACATAAAGCTAAAAGAAGAAAGTGAGTCGTTAAAACGGAAGGCGGAGAGAGAGGCGTACGACAGGTGAGTTCTTCCCAAATGCCTCATCCTCTTCAGTCTCGATGCACTTTGCGGTTTCAATCTCTCTAACGAGGTCTATTCATGGGAAATGGACGATGGCATGAAATTCAATCTCACTTCTCAATACATGGAAATAAAAGTGAAATAATTGTGTTCACAGCAGATGAAGAGATTTTAAATGCTTGCTGTTATTCTATTTCACATAAACAGTTAGGCTCTTTTCAATTGCAGTGGTAGAATCAAAGCTGCCCTTTTTGGCGTTTTTATATTATGAAAGCGTTGGTAACAATTTATTTAATTGATGGTAGTGCGGAGCCAGATGCAAAGAAGCAGCGTGTCGAGGATGGAACGGAGGCTGCGGACGCCACTGCAACTGCCACCATGCCGGACATGACGGCGAACAACTCCGCCTATAACTACAATTGGTACCAGGTGAGTGACTTTTATTACACTAATCCTACTATAAGGAAGCAGCAAATGTTACATTGTTCCTCATCAAAAGCAGATCCTCCAGTGGATGTTCTAACCTCCACTCAGCCAATTTATTTTGTCAAACTTTAGATGATAGATGCGTTATACCTCATTTTAAAGTTCTGAATTGATTAAAGATTGATATTTTCTATATTCTGAGTTTTGTTGACAACAATGTTGCTCAAAATGGGCTGTTTGTAACCTTTCTGTGCTTCTAAACATGGACACATTTTTCACATTTCCCCTTTTTTTCCTTTTTTTTTCTGGAGCAGCAGCAGTATGGAGCCTGGAGTCAGACCAACTCCTGGGGACAGTACGGGCAATACGGGCAATACAACCAGTACTACCCTCCCCCTCCCACATGATGTGACCCACGGAGGAGGCTGTTGTTCAAAGACTACAGGCTCATTTTAACAGCCCCGAGAGAAATGGCAGCGATACTTTATGGACTACTGGACTACAAAACGCAATTTCTGAATGTTTTTGTGTGGGTTTTTCAATTTTTAGTGTTTTCCATTGACTACTCCAATGGTGCCCCTTTCTGTTTTTCTCCATTGTATGAAAAATCTGTCTGCAAGTGGATTCGTACTGGTTTCCCTAGATTTGATGCTAGTTCAATTTCTGTCTATTTTGAGATTGACCCAAAATATACCCCTATACAAGAGTAGTCTGCTTTTTTCCGATGGAGCCTAAGTATGGAAACGGAAAAGGTATTGAATAATTGATTGTGTCATAAAATTTCAACTTTCTGTATATCAATTGAGCATAAACACAAAATGATATACCTTATAAGGAGGCCATGCAGTTGGAACAAACCAGGAAAAAGTTTCAGGCCCTGAAAAAGGTTGGACATGCATTTGGGTTTTCTATAAGATTTAGTCCAAATGTTTAAAAGCGTAATGAGGAATAAGGCAGAAATATGGTTCTCTGGTTGCATTTATTTGTCCCTAGCTCTACACTTGTTCTTATGTTGGTGTTTTGCCTGGAATGAACCTCCATTATGGTATAAAACCTGTAAATGTTTACATTTAAGATGTTTTTACTGCTCCAAAACCTCTAACCCTATCACCTGTAAGCATAGTGATCTCAACCTCTCGTCCTCATTCAAGGGAAAACTACATTGGACAAGAAAAATGACCTTGACCAAACCCAGTGCTACTCTGAAAACTGGCTTTGTCTGAAACTTTCTCAGAACTCAATGGAAAACACAAACTACACCTCTGAATCCCTCAACCAGTTTAAAACGTTACCAAATGGCCGTAGCACGTTCAAATAATCTGACTTATTAATTTTAGGAATAATTCTCTTTTTGAACTTGTACAAATGTAACCACGTGTTCACTCAGTCTTGGTTGAACTATTGAGTTTTAATATTTCATGGTTTGCTGAAGGAAGATGTTTGCTTTTTTATTTTGACTTAATTTCATAATAAACCAATATCTTGTGAGAAACTAGCCTTTTTTTGTATTTAGACTTTTCAAACACAAATGTCTGAGATATCTACAGTCTATGGTCTGAACATGCTTCATTTAAAAAATAATGTATGGCAATGTTAGTCTGTTACATAACCAAACGTAAAGTTATTAAAAAATAAAAGCTTGTAGTTACAATGGGTTTGATTTGGAATTGGTACTACTTAGAATTTGAACTACAATGGTATGTCCCAAACCCAATAAACGGCACATTTTTATCTGGTGGGTGGAAGCCTTTCTCACATTTCCAAGTTTTACCTGCATGAATCTCATGCCAACTCTCCATAGTTTAGTTCTGACTGATTTCCAACACTTCCTGCGCTCACTCATGTCTGAGTTGGTTCATATGGCACTAAAATTACGCAGATCTAACATCACTTCGAAACAAGCAAAGACCTGAGACCCAACACAAATGTGGCACAACAGGCATGTGAAAGCCATATCCCGTCAGACCGCTGGGACATGGTGCTGTTGTAAAGTTCCTCACTTCACTCAGTCTGGCACTGGTGGCTTATCAGTATGGAGTGACGTGAACGATTAATGCCATGCATGTAAAGCGTCTTTAGTGTCCAAAATAACACGGGAGAGGACATACGATCAGAGACCCGACTCCAGGGTCAATACTTTTAGCAACTAAATAAAATAAACTGGCAAAACCTCACACGTCACCTGAGTTCTCTGACGCCAAGCACGACGTCATCAATTTAATAACTGCTCTACTTCCAGGAATCTGTTTTATTTATTTTTTCTTATTGTCCTCACGAACTGGCGTTATTGGTGTACAATGATTTATCTTCTACCACCAAAACCTTTCATACACTTTTTATGTGGCGCATGCGCTCCCGATGACGCTTCTTACTGATGACGTCACCGTGACGAGTTTTTTGGACATGCGCAGTGCGGTCCCTCAGAAAGCCCTTTTTATGCTAAGCGCTGAACGACTAGCATCAAACGAGGTAAGGCCTGCGCCAAAACTGTCTAAACGTGTCCTGTTTACACTTCTTACACAAAGAAACCATCTATATTGGTCTTGTAAGTTACTATCCACGTTTTCAGTTCGTTATTTTATGTCTTATATGTGTATTTTGAGCATTACTTGCACCTTTCCTGCTGCGCGTGCCCCATGTGGCTACAGGACTGAGCTAGCATCTCGGTAAACCAGGGACGAACTGGAGCTGCTCTACTGCGGAAGAAGGAAAAGTCATGTTTAGAGATTAGCGCACTTCATTATTGTCTAATATACACTTCAGTTGTACAACATTTAATCCCATTGTGTAATTCTGCTATAAAGCCATGCCTGCTGTGGCGGTCGCCTTTTACAGCATTTAATAGTTTGTTTTCAATCTGCTTATCTCCTTCACCGTAACATGATTTCGTCTTATTTTGTCAAGCCATGTTTTATTATTGAAATTAAAACTACACAAAGTAATCAAGATAAAAACAAATACCAGATCGATGATTGTAACATTGGTGTATTCAATATTTATCTACTTTGAACGACCTTTTTCTGCATTAGCGACAAACACTATTATTTTTGTTTGTGTTTTCGTGTAGATCCCGATGTATAAATAAACTGTCTTTGCACATGCCTGTACATGTCGCTGAGGCAGGTTGTGGATGTAAAATGGAAACTGGCTGATTGGTTTAGTAACCATTTTTAATGTCTTTTTATAATCGAATTAAAACAAGTCGTGTTTATCTTAAATGTGGATACCATAATTCAAACCATGACATGTCTTATTGAAAAATGCTGCCTTTTGCATACTTATGAGTCACTACTTGACGTTTGGGTGAGGGCATATTTAATGTGCAAGAGGGCAAGGAACTAAGTTTGGTTGTCAATGTCCTTACATCCACACTGTGCTGACCTCCTGTCTCTCGTTCCAGCATCATGCAGCTGTTCCTTCGTGCCCAGAATACTCACACCCTTGAGGTGACTGGAGAGGAGACTGTGGGACAGATCAAGGTACAGAGGCCTCTTCTCCTTCTTACACTAGATTGACATTTATATTACAGCTTGTGCTGTGGCTGTGTTTCCTGCTTAGGCTCATATCCAGACCTTGGAGGGTCTCTCTGCTGATGACCAGGTTCTGCTGCTCGCTGGCTGCCCTCTGGAGGATGACTGTAGCCTTGCTGCCTGCGGCGTCTCTGAGCATTGTACTCTGGAGGTGGCCGGCAGACTCCTGGGAGGTGTGTGCACTGCTACTGTCTTTATTTGTTTAATTATACTTGGGTTAATGTCTGTTTCTGAGGGACACGCTTTGTTAAAAGCAGCTTCAAATGAAACTTTTTATCAGAGGTTTTTGTATGAAACCACACAGTCACCCAGTTTCAAAATTGTTATTGTTTCAAATGGGAAGAATCCAGTTAAGTTGGTTCCATGTGTCTAAAAGCCTCATGGGTTTTTATTAATGCACCATTAAGGGTGAATGGAGGCGCCCCATTCTCGTAGAACAGCATGTTTTCAGGTTCGCTGGGAAGTTGTGTGTTACAATTCTTGCATACTAACATTTGAGGACCTACAAGCCTGAGTTAATGTGGTCAACATGTGGTAATTATCGGGATGAATTGTAGCATGTCTCCAGTCTGTGTCCCTCTGCTTGTGTAGCAGTATTTAATTGTATCTTAATGATCCCCTGTCCCTATTCCAGGTAAAGTCCATGGCTCTCTGGCCCGTGCTGGGAAAGTGAGGGGACAGACCCCCAAGGTAATTTATTACTACATCAAAACCATTAATTTTGTTTTAAACCCTGATTAAGCGTGTTGTGTTGACTCCTGCAGGTGGACAAGCAAGAGAAGAAGAAAAAGAAGACTGGCCGTGCCAAGCGTCGTATCCAGTACAACAGGCGCTTTGTGAACGTGGTGCCCTCATTCGGCAAGAAGAAGGGACCCAACGCCAACTCCTAATCCTGCTCACGGCATCTTTTTACCAGCTTCAATGTTATCCTGTCATACAGAATAAAACTTTGGATTGGGAGTTTTGAGTTTCTTAATCTTTTCTGAACAGTGGTTTCAGAGGTGTATAACACTTTTCTTACAAAAGCGGTGGTGGTCACATTTTCCACATTTCCTAGGCTGTATAAATCATTAAGTGTGATTTAGGACTGTTGTACAAAGTAATCGCTAGAGGCTCCAAAGGAACATTTGCCTTAAGGTTACTTGAATCATAACTGATATGGCGGGTTTCTGGTAGGACTAAATAACACGTTCCATGTCAGAGCATTTGCCCTTTTTGTACAACCTAGTAATATGCATCTTAAATAAAAATTACAACAAAGTTAATTGTGAAAGAAATGGTGTTCTGACTTGGAAATATATGAGAATATAACCTAGATGTTTGTTTTGATTCTGTTTTTTCTATTTGAAAGTGGTGCCCTCGAGAACATGAGCTCTGAGTGAAAACATGCATTTTCATATCATTCTTCAGCTATTATAGAATTGTCATGGTTTAGAAATATTAAATCTTTCAGATCCCAGAAGTTTATTTCATGGCCCTAAATCAGAATAAATGTTTTTAACCAATGATTTTAGTTGACAGCTTGTGACTTATTTTAGAGTTGTTCATAGACTATCAGTTATGTGCTTTACTTGCAACACTGATTAATAAAATAACTAGTGATGGGTTGATTAAGTGTTGAACCTTTGCATCCATTGGTTCGAGAAAAGGTTCATTTCTTGATGCTTCATATGCTCACAAACCCCCTGGTGGTCAACATCTGTTGACATTTGAACTGTTTGTGAGGCATAGAATTAATACAAATATATTTTAAATGACAAAATTATACTGTACCGGTAACTGGTACAGTTGTCTGCTCACACACAATGATATACAGATCTAATGATTATAGTTTGAAGTTAGTCAAATTCAATTAAATAAATCCAATAGAACAAAAGACAATTGTGACCCTATCAGTTGTTTAAAACCAATAATTTCTCAGTTTATTGGTTATATATATAACTTAAGACAAACCCACAAAGTTTGAGCGGATCCACTGCAGTACTTCAAACGTCATAAGTGACGTCACTCACCTAAAAACTCTGAAAGCAGCTTAAAATAACCTTGGCGATGAATATTTCCAAACTTTAGATCCCAATTTAGGGTATGAAGTAAAGCCACATCATAATATAGTCCTAACACTCATCTCCACACAGGATTTCAGTAAACTTTGTACAGATTAAAAGGCACATTGTATTCATATTGACTGTTTAAATATGATTTGTGAAGCACATTTCATACAGTGCAATCTGTTCACCTGTAGCAAATCACGATTACTTTAAGGTTTAAACGAGTGTCTGAGCCTGTGATTTAATTAGTGTTCCATTTGTTGCTACCATTTTTAGTTTTGTGGCAAGAGGCAGTAACACTTTTATATACAAAGTATTTCTCTGCCTGTTATGCCTTGAAAGTGTGTTCCCAGGTCTAAATGTCTTCAATGGGCCAATGAGGACAGGTTAATACAATAGTGTAAATAGACAACGTACTTTTTGTGGTAAAGATTTATTTTCTCACATGCAAAAAATGTGTTCATACATTTTAGGTCTCGCCAGGTTCGACAAAACCGCAGCAGAATAACAAATAAAAACTTGCAAACTTGAACTGAGAGAAGGGCTTTTTCCATTCGACAAAACTTCCCACTAAGACGGGCCGATTAATCCACCGCCACCAGCTCGATCTCAAAGATGAGTTTGGCATTGGGTGGAATTCTGGGAGGAAAACAAGATAAGGAAGACAAACAGAAACATGCAAGCCAAGCTGGAACATTTTCTCAACGATTAAGACAGTTCTAAAGAAGTTTAAGGCTGTATACGGTCATTTTATGGGTAAACTGATCACTTCTGAATGATTTATTTTGGATTTTAAATGATAAAACCACAGTATGTAGCTTCCTGTAGGAAAATTAACCAATTAAAAGTTAAAGATTATTATTATTATTATTTTTTAATACTTTGGGGAAACATCCCTAAACCCCACAGGTAGTCCAGTTATGTGTTTTCAAATAGGAATGGACACGACCAGATGCCTGTAGCCTCAAAAATAAATCATAAATATTTCGGTGTTAAACCAATCGAATGCGTTCATCCCCCCTTCTGAGTCTGAGGTGAAGGATACTTTGAATCTGGCACGCCCTTCCTCCCGTAGGCCCACTCCGGCTCGATCTCCACTCGGGCCTGTTCCCCTTTGCTCATGGTGAGAATGGCCTCGTCCCACTGTCACAGGAAACACATTATACACACACACACACACACACACACACACACACACACAATGACCAGGATGAGCTCCACTCACTCCTCTGATGACTCGGCCCAGGCCCGCTTTGAAGCTCAGGGGTTTGGTCTGCTTCTTCTTCCTGGCTCCTGCTCAATCAAAAGAAATGCTTACTTTTTTTTTTATATTCAAAAGATGTTAGAAGTGGTTATCCATGTTACTACATTGTTCGACGTCGCAAACAGACCAGGTGTCGTTTTGATCCATCCATATGAGGAATCTCAAAAGTTTTCCCCCTGTGTCTTTTGCTCCCCTTTCAAACCCTTTATGTTACGAGCAAATGTTTAGATAACAAAGACATAGACTACACACTCCCTGAGCAGTCTTTTTAGCTAGTCATGGACATCTCTTCAGTCGGACGACATTGTTCAAAAAAGGAGGCGGGGTTCTGCAGGTTCTCATTTTTGGAAGTCATTGAACTCATTTCTATAACTGAGCAGTTTAGACCTCTATAGTGGCTTATAGTGTCCTATATGTATAACCATTACACTGATTGATCACCTTCCAAAGAAATAAATAATTTTTTTTTTTTTTTGCGGGCTGAATTTCGATTACTTTAGACCCTAAGGGTCTAAGGGTCTTGCCAGTCCAGGGCTGGTCCAGATTGGGAAAATTCAACCCGCACTTTTGTCGGTGGTGGTTTTTTTTGACCCAAGGGTAGCAACAAATGTTGCATTAGAAAAATGTAGTTCGCTTCAAACATTTAAAAATAAAGTTGGATTCTCTAGTTTTATAATGGTTTATAACTATTGTGCTTGGTTGCTTTGTACTTTTGCAAGTGTTCTTGAAAAAGTGAATTCAAGCGAATGTACAACAGCAGGTGCCAGTACAACTATGATAGACATGTTGAAAAAGGTAACTTCTAAATGTTACCCCACATCATTTAGATAGTGATTAGTTTACAAAACTGCCATATTATTTCTGAAAGTCCTTTCCTCTTTCCTTCTAGGCACATTTATGATAAAATAATTGGAAAACAGTTGATATGTACTGACAAAGATGAGGAACTAGAGAAATTAGCTCTAAACCAAAATCTGACTTTTGACTGACATCGGTGAACACTAACGCCATGTGACATTTGCTCCATCCTCCCACAGAAGTCAGCCCAGTGTCAGATTGAGCATTTCCATACCGACAGGAACGTTGGTGTCAAACACGGTCCCGTCCTCCAGCGTGCCCGTGTACCAGCAGCTCACCGTCTCCCCCTTCTTGGGAAAGTTGGTCTTGTCTCCCTTCTTCAGCACAGACTTGGTGAACTTGGGCGGACCCTGGAATGAGGAGGTTCATGCATAAAGCTTTGACACCTGGGTTTGGGTGAGCAGGTTAGCACAGACAGAGACAGACCTCGTCCACCACTTCGGCCTTCACTTCTTTGGGCTTCTCCTCGATCTTTGTCGTCCTCACTTGCTCCGTGACCTCCGCCACCGGATCTGTGCCTTTGAATTTCTGCAACCACCACACAATATTCACTTTAGGGGTTTCTGGTGACGCGTGGTGTGGGGAGCACATTTTAATTTTAAAAAGAGTTGTATGTATTATTTTATCATTAAAAACAAGACATACACTATTCCTAATATTATGCAAGAGATTTGTTGTTTTAACTGTTTGCGTCATTGCGTGTTAAAGTTTACATAAAGAGCAGTTCAAAATTCATAATTTACCAAAATATTGAAAAAACTCTTAGTTGCAATAAATCAGTATAGGCCTAATTCATATAGCAGTTTAAAGACAAATAACAGGTAGAGACACAACCAAGAGTCACAAGAGAAACCAAGAGAAACAGAAGTGAGTCTTTAGTTTATGCTGTGTTGTAGCATTGATGTCATTAGGCAGTGTTCGATTTACAAGGAGCATGTGGGGAGAACACTGCTTCTACAGCCAGATAAGCTTAAAGGTTCATAAGGCACGATCAGAGATACACAAAAGGAGGCAGACTGTGGAGGCCTTTGGTTGTGTTTGCAGGGCTGCGTTAAAGTCCTTTATGATTGTTTCCAGAGTAAAAAAACATCAACACACTGCGCCTTAACAAATGTCTGCAGTGTTCAACATTTTATTTTAATGCCAAGTGCAAAAATCATACATTTGGCCTGTAGTCTGGTACTTCAAAAAGTTCCAGACTACAGGGTTTGGAGGATTTAATTCTAAAATAAATGAACTTTCAGAACATGGCCATTTGTATTTACTCATTTAGTTAGTTTTTTTTATTTTTTATTTTAAGTTCACTACATAGAACTTTCCCACAACTCATCCATTTACAATTACTCATTCAGCCAATTTCATTCAACCACAATTTGTTTCTATTTTTTCTTTTTACTGGCCAGTAACATACTTTCACTTTGTGAAATTGTTTATATTCAAGCTATTTACAAGTAATTTTTATTCGTGGCAGAGTAGTGAGAGAAGATACTTCTATGAGTAGTTCCTTTTATGCCATATAGATTAAGACGATACCAAAATGTAATCCTGAGTTCATTTTGTAATTCAAAATTTTGGGTTTCCAGTTATTTGGTGAAATGTGGTTGGTTTTGTCTCTACTTTAAGATGTTTTCTTATTTGGAGTACATTAGAGTAAATATACTTTATTTCAGACCAAAACAGGTCCATCCATTACGTCAATGAGGATTTGCCGTAGGATAATCGGTATAAGATGGATGGATCTAAAAACAACTGTCTGTTTTAATTAACTTAAGCATGTTGAAACATGAATAAAAGTTCAATCGGGACGATTGCCTTCTTTCAAGGACTGAAAATAAATTAATAGAAAGTGTGTAGCATCAATATAAAAATCCCACTCACTTTGTTCTCAAATAACTGATTATAGGCGTCGATCAGCTGCTCTTTCTTGGCAGTTTTGGCCACATTCTTAATGTTTCCCTGCAACTTGAGTTCATTGAGAAACTGTAGGAAGAAACATGAATGGGTGAGATACAGTTCATAAAGCAATCTGAGTTCATTAATACAACAATAAATGAGGGGCTTCTGATAATGGTCCAGAATGGGAAAAGGCCAAAAGATCACATTGAGAGTTTGTGCGATTTATCACTGGACTGTAGGGCTGCACCATTGTAAATAATACAAAGGGCATGATGTGGTCCCAACTCAGATAGACAAAAGACAAAAAAACTGTTAATTTTGAAATGCTCTGCAAAGGAATTTTTTTTTAGTTCTGTTATTATTACTTGCAGGCTGAATTACAGTCAGAAAACACATATCAACCAATAATTGTAACAAGTTAGCTGATTTGAGGGGGAAATGCTATGTTCCATACCTCCATTGGTATTGGTTCATATCGGGAATCGGCAAATATTGAAAGCCAAAGGATCGGTAAAGGACAAAAAGAAGCTGGATCATGCATCTCTAGGAAATACAAAATAAAAAATTGGGTGAAAAAAATGTTTATTTGTAGTTATGAGATATATTATTGCAAAGGTGAACAATGGAACATGGATGCGTCACAAACATCAAAAACTTTTTTTTTTTTGAATACCAAAATAACCATTCATTATTTGCTGCATACATCATCTGGCGCCTCTTTATCCTTCTCCATAACATACAAAGTAACACTATACATCGATACAATTATAAATGTGTGAAACTAAGATTATCTAAGAAAAAAGGTCTCATGTACAGACAGATGCCAAGTGTCGCTGAAATTGATATTTATTTATCAAAATGCATAGAAGCTGTGCATTCATTCATCCTTATGGGCCAGGACCAAGTCACTTAGCATCTCCGCAGCGTTACGGGCAAATTATAGCTTTTACAAACGTCTTTTTAAACTCTATCAAAGGCATAACTGTGCTCTCAAACGTACCGACTGTGCTGCATTGTCCTGGAGGAACTTTATTATGTCTTTTTTGGGCAAATCGTCACTTTTCAGCTTCTCATCGCTCCATTCTCGTGTTGGTTCCGCCGCCATTTTGAAAGTGAATGCTTGAACTTTGCGGCTGCATCCAAATTCCTATTTAAAACACCTTCTTCCGTATCCTTCCTTATAATCCGTAACTTTGTGGCATATATTTTGACATATGTGGCATAAAAACATGTTAAAATGGTGTAAAAGTTCAACTTGGATCTGCCTAAGCTCATAAAAGGAACATTTTATAGCACAAGGAAGGGTAAAGAAGAAAGTGTTTTTGCTTAAATTGGTTGCAGAATTACGGGCGGTAGTAGAACCTTTTTTTTATTTTATTTTTTTATTTATATAATTTAAATATATATATTATTATTATCATTTCGTTCAATCGTTTCATAACTCCAATTAGTTCGTTAAATAATACGTTTATGTAAAAAATAATAAAGATCTAAAATAATGTAGATCTTTTATGTGTCCCCAGATAACATGTCATTTGTACAAATCCCATTAGACCGTTTCTGAACTAAAGTTCTATTAAAGTATTAATAATTAAAATGTAATACTTCAGTTGCAATAGTTCTCATTTGCCTGTCGTAATCGACCCAGGTACAGATGGTAGAGGAGTGCACGTTTCTGGATTTAACTCTGTCTGATGACCTGAAATGGGTTAAAAACACTGACCGGGTGGTTAAGAAAGCTCGTCAGCGTCTCTACTTTCTGCGTAAACTTAGAGAATTTACCACTAACTCTGAGATTCTGCTTAACTTTTATCGCTGCACCATTGAGAGTTTGCTTGTTGGTTCTGTGTCTGTGTGCATGGTTTGGTAACATCACAGATAAAGAAAAGAGAGCTTTAAACAAGGTGCTCCGCTCTGCAAAGAGGACCGTGGGCTGTGAGCTTCCTGTTCTGGAGGTTCTTTATAAATCCAGACTTTTAAACAGAGCTCTGAGAATTATCAACGACTCTTCTGGCCACCCTGGAGAAGCCTTGTTTCAGCTTCTTCCCTCTGGCAGAAGATATCGTTCACTGAGATTCAGGACATCTCGTTACGCTAACAGTTTTTTCCCACAAGCTGTTATCAGTTTGAACAGAGCCCTTTAATGATTTGTGCTTGTTTTGAAACTGTTTTAGTCGATCAATTTCACAGTGACATTTGTTTACTGTTTTATTTGTTTTATTTCTGTCTTTTAATGTTGCTTTATGTCTGTACTTTTTTTTGCAAATGTATTCCAATGTGGTTTTACTGCAAATGGCAAATAGATGACTCTGAATCTGAATCTGATTTGCGTTTAGAATTTTCGAGTAGATTATCCAACCAGAGACCAGAGGGGTGTTCGCATTTGGGTTGCCAGTTTGTTAGGTTATTTTCCACTGGTTTTGACACAAAACATAGCACTGTAAAAGTTTGTAAATGAGGAGATGACGACTCAGCATAGCCTATCTATTCAGCAACTTCTAACATAATAAATCAGCTGTCAAGTTGTGTATTCACAATAAAGGCATGTTTTGTGGATGAGTTGGATTGATTTCACTAAGAGAGAATATTACATTCAACCCCTTTGACAATAAGAGAGCCTTTATTTGTCAAACAGTGGGGAAATTTAAATGTTGCAGATACAGGACAGAAAGAGCACACAGGGAGCACACAAAATATACAATACAATTAGCGTCTATGTTTCTCAGCTAGCTGTACATTCTTCAAAATCAATATATCTACTGTATATGTATCTATCTATCTATATATATTGTATGCCTTCCATCGCTGCAGGACTTGAACGTCGCCTGAGCTCGAGGGTGGGCTGGACGTATCACTGCTGACCCTCTCACCTGCACATGGACTGTTCAATCACTCCCCTCAGGAAGGAGACAACAGTCCATCAGGACCAGAAGCTCCCACCATAAGAACAGTTTGTTCCCCTCTGCAGTGACTCCTCATGAACACTTCATAACTCATCACAATCCCCTGCCTTTTATGACCGTCACTTTACCACTCACTTTACTGTGTACTTAGTGCGCTTGTATATAGTAGTATTTTTAAGAAATGTGATTCAATTATTATCTTATTAATTTAATCATACCTTATTATTTTTTTTACTTTATAACTTGTTTGCACTGAGAATGTGATTTTTGTTGTAAATTTGACTTCCAGAGCAGGCTGCCACTGAACACAAACAAGTGACATTACTGGACTATAGGTTTAGCATGCAATCCATGGAAAAATAGAACTTTTCATAATATCAAAAGAGACTGATCTCCACAAATGAGCTGAGTCAAGGCATTTCATAACACAAATTTTACCCACCAGAAAGAGTCTTGTAAAAATAACATTTGTACAAATCAGACCACAACTTGCTGTCTTCATATTATTATAAAACGTTAAAAGTTATTATTTGCATACTTGTAAGTGAGTCACTATTTGACAAAGGCCAAAAATGCATGCGTGTTAAAACTAGTGATCGAAAGAAAGTATTTCAATTTTACAAACGGGCTCTTGCTGCAGCTCCTTTTTGTGCCCACCAGGGGTCAGTATGCCCTCATCAATTTTCCATGCAACACTTTTTAGATTGATCTTTCCAATATACAGCGTTCACAATGCAATTTGACAAAAGGGCAAAACTGCCGCTATAATCGTGCACAGGGCCATACAACCATAATGAATACTCCAGCAAAAATGACAGCAGTCCAGTGAAGGAGACATATTGGGCTGTTTGCTATAAAAACACTGGGCTTCAGCTGTTTAGTCTTAATTTAGTGTTTATCATGGTATTTCCCACATGGACAGGACCATATACAGGTGCAAACGTAGGTGTTTTCACTGCACAGTAACAAGCTGATGTCTGTAAAGTAATGTATTGTTTGCAATTATAGGAGTTGACAATAAAGAGACTGAGGTAAGGGGGAAAGTTATACACAGACAAAAGTGTGAGAAGTTCTAAGTAAGAAAGTGCATTGTCTGGATGCTGTCATTGAAACGATAATAATATGCTAATAGACTTATTCTCCAAGCTCTTGTCACTTTGTTTATGTAGCTTATTGCATCGGTTCTCAACTGGTGGGTCGGGACACTTCAGAAAAGTTATTGAGACTTATTTATTTTGACTCCTATATCCAATCAAAATTAGATAACAACTCACTACCTGGAGTGAAATGTAAAACTTGCATTGAAAGAATTCTTAAAAATTTCCACCATTGCCGTAAAAAAAAAAAGTTTGTATCCATTTCCTTGATTCCAGAGTCTGTTGGAATTATTTTGTTCATAATGTTGGCTTTGTAGGATAATTCAACGAGTATAAAACAAAAAATAGTGAATATACTGTATATATATAGGATTTGATATGATTTATACTAAATTCAGTCCTTATTTGCAGTTTGGGTGACACGGTGGATAGCAAGAAGATCCTTGGTTCGAATCCCGGTTGGAACAGTGTCTTTCTGAGTGGAGTTTGTATGTTCTCCCTGTGCCTGCGTAGGTTTCCTCCAGGTGCCCCGGTTTCCTCCAGGTGCTCCGGTTTCCTCTACCACTAAAAACATGTACAATAGGTAAATCCTCCAGCTGAGGTAGTCCTGACCAAGCCGAGCATCAACATCTGGAGATGGGTTCGTGGGCGCAGATGTAAGCCTTCGTGGCATCAGGATGGATCAAATGCAGAGGATGAATTGCCCTACGGGGATAAGATACATGCGCCTTTTACCTGGTCTATTGCTTTCTTAATTGCATTGTAAATGTCTCCATTGTGAGATCCATAAAGTTTTATTTTTTCTTATCGTATATGTCTTGGCACATTTATGATGGAAAAGTGGCTCTTTTGATTCCACTCTCTTTTCACACTGAAGACCCGCATTTTTGGACCTATGTCAACAGCATGAACACAAAGTGTTTTTTCAATGGGGCTAGACTCTCATTTAAGGTTGGGTTGAGATAGAAGGAAGCATCTGCAGTCATGGCACTGTGTATATAGGACTTATAGGACCACTTAGATATAATCGGCACCTGTGCTCGCTTGTCAGTGCCAGATCCAAATCTTTATGTGAAGGCTGATGAAGCCTTTGTGCTGCCCATGCCATGGCTGCTCGCACTGCATTCGTAAAGCCATAATACCCTCTAGATACATCTGCAAAATGCTTATTTGGCTGTTTTGAAATGCAAACAACTGTCTAACAAGAGTTAGACAGCGATAAGAATGCATTCCTGTAGGAATTAATTTGTGATCATAAAACGGCAACAAAGTGATCATTGGGGATGCGTACTTATTTTCATATCCTTTATTCTAAATAATTTAGAAATGTTTATCAAAATAAAAGTGATGAAATAAATCTCCATCACACAACTCATCAAACGTTACCATATATTACAAACCGCTCATTATGTGAATTAGTGATATTCATTTCATAGCAAAAAAGTTATACCAACAATGTTTATATATTATTTTGTTGTTTATCGACAGCCATTTTTAAAAGCCACACACACAACTTATTTTATAATTAATAATATGTGTCATTTACATCCAGTAATATTTTACAGCAGTTAATTTGAAATGTAATAGTACAAATGATAAACAGTTTGGAGTCTAAATTTCCGCTATATTTGGCCGCTTTGTTTGTACTGAACACTACTCTGCAAAAAGACCAAAATTCTGTTTTATACACTTAAGATAAGATAAACTCAATGATCTAAATTGATCTGAATTTTGTTTTAGGGTGTTTTCTTCTGCACTCCTCTGCACACTTCTGGTCCTCTATATGAGGTGTGTGAATGTCCTTACGTCCTATGAACAAAGACAGACACTAAAGGAGCTCTATGTAAGTCCTGGCAGAGAAACACGGACACCAAAAAATCTGGAATAATCTCCCTGAAGATGTGAGACAGGCCTCCTCTCTGACAATGTTTAAAACCAGCTTAAAAACAGTTCTGTTTAGCTGTGCATACAACTGAGGGATTTTATATTTTTATCTTTCTTTTTATTGTTCGGTGATTATTTATGATTTTAATGCGTTCTTGTTTTGTTCAGCACTTTGAATTGCCTTGAGTATGAATTGTGCTATACAAATAAACTTGCCTTGCCAAAGCTGGGGTACCTCTTAAACCACAACAAATATAACCATGTAATCAAATGTATCTATAGTGCTTTGCTTTGGTTCTGTGTTGTGAAAACATCAGACCACATGGTGCAGTCTTTGCACATTTGTAAAACATGTTATTGTTTGCAAAAGAAAGATCCCTCTGAGTCACTATTTGACAGTTTAGGCTGAGAGCCGCCTGGATATTTTTCACTTTTCTGTCTGGAAAAGCTGATCTTAAGATGTGATACATGTATGCAGAAACTAATGATTAAACCAAACTGTTTTGAGGGCGACAAAGTAACGACACAAATTTTCATTCCAGAACTCCACCGCTGTGATTTAAAAGTCATGCACCCCCACTTTAACAGATGTGTATCTGTATAAGTTTTCCTTCATTCTTTTCATACATTTTCTCTACACGCTGCTGTTTGTCTGAGTGACGATGTCAACTGTAAACTGCAATTTGAAATAATTCTTTGAACAGAAAATGGGTAAACAAGACACACAGAGTAGAGGATGACTGAATCATGTCTAGGCAAGGCAAGTTTATTTGTATTGCACAATTCACACACAAGGCAACTCAAAGTGCTGAACAAAATAAGATAGCATTAAAATCATAAAAAAAATCACAGTACATTAAAAAGAAAGATAAAAATTCCTCAGTTGTATGCACAGCTAAACATAACTGTTTTTAACCTGGATTTAAACATTGTCAGAGAAGAAGCCTGTTTCACATTTTCATGGAGATTGTTCCAGATTTTCACTGCATGAATCTGAAATGCCGCTTCCCCATGTTTCGTTCTGACTCTGGGCACCAGCAGGAATCCCGTCCCTGTGCTCCTCAGAGTCAGGGCCGAGTTCATATGACACTAACATGACACTAATGTACTTTGGTCTAGTCTTGAACAATAACTTAAGTAATGCATTTAAAAACTTCAAAACAAACTTCGAAGCATAAACCTTTCCATGAGACAAAATCCAAAATCATGGCAGAAAAAACGCAGTGGAGTTGTTGACAAGAGCTCTGTGTTTTTGAACCCGGCCCAGATCCCCAAAGAGCAGCATATGTCAGCTCCATGTGGGGCGGGCAGCAGCCACCGTCTCTGTGTGAGATAAATGTAACACTGGTATGATAGTGGTGCGACAGAGGCCTGCGGAGGCTCTGAGCCCGCTCCTCTGCTCCTCTGCTCCTCTGTACCTCTCTGCTCCTCTGCACACCTCTGCTCCTCTGTACCTCTGCTCCTCTGTACCTCTCTGCTCCTCTGTACACCTCTGCTCCTCTGTACCTCTCTGCTCCTCTGTACACCTCTGCTCCTCTGTACACCTCGGCTCCTCTGTACACCTCTGCTCCTCTGCACACCTCTGCTCCTCTGCTCCTCTGTACCTCTCTGCTCCTCTGTACACCTCTGCTCCTCTGTACACCTCGGCTCCTCTGTACACCTCTGCTCCTCTGTACACCTCTGCTCCTCTGCACACCTCTGCTCCTCTGCTCCTCTGTACCTCTCTGCTCCTCTGTACACCTCTGCTTCTCTGCTCCTCTGCCCATCTCTGCTTCTCTGTACACCTCTGCTTCTCTGCTCCTCTGCCCATCTCTGCTTCTCTGTACCCCTCTGCTCCTCTGCTCCTCTGCACACCTCTGCTCCTCTGCTCCTCTGTACCTCTCTGCTCCTCTGTACACCTCTGCTTCTCTGCTCCTCTGCCCATCTCTGCTTCTCTGTACACCTCTGCTCCTCTGCACACCTCTGCTCCTCTGTACACCTCTCCTCCTCTGCACACAGACACTAGTGAAGGGGACTTGCTGTTAACTAACGAACAAAACAAAAAATGTAGAAGAAAGGAAAAGCAAACATTACGTGCTACACAAAGCATGGCCAAATATGTGCGGTGCTACCAGATACAAGCCAGGGCCAATTACTTCGGGCGATTTCTCCGCTGAAATTCTCTACAACTGCATGGCTGTGTTTGCAAGGTTTGATTATCATAATAAATTCAACACCTGCCTCTAGCATGTTTTACTATTTATTATTATCTTTTGTTTGGGGAAAAGTCCTACTGTCAAATGCTATAGTTACATGCCTTTATCATGGCTGAGTGGTTAGCATTCTCGCTCCTCAGCAAGTAGTGTGGAGTGAGAGACAAATGCCCACAAATGTAAAGCGCTTTGTGACTCTGTAAAAGGTGCTACATAAAAGATTACTTACTTACTTCAACAGATTTAAATATTCTTCTGTTCGAGCATCTATCAGTCTGCTCAGTCAAAGCTGATAACTTGAATAGTCTCCTTGTCTGGGCGTGTGCAATGCTTTCCCGTTTCCAACTGCATAGACACTTTGTATGGACTTGCACAATGTACTTTCTTAATTTGGACCACACCAGCACTTTAGACATTGTGTGTACTTTGTTGTGTTTTTTTTTCTTTTACTGTGGTCTTATTAGTATGTTGATTTGTGTCCTTGGACTGATGGGACTGTGCAATATTATGGCGTATTCTTGTCCTAATAGGGCACTGTCCGGTTTCCGAAATGTGCTAAAAATAGTTCCAATGACTGCGCATGCGCGCATGTTTCGGACAAACTCTGTCCGACTCCGTTGAGTACTACTGTGTTCTCCACATAAGCGTGTGTATTTATTTGGGCTAAATCATTGAATCATGGTGACAACAAAACACTGCAGTTATGGTGCTTGTGGGAGCGATTTCAGATACTCTGAAAAGGACTATATGAAAGCAGTAACATTCAACCTGTTTGTTAAACCACACCATCGAACCAGACCAGGACCAGACCAGGACCAGACCAGGACAAGTGCAAGAGGTGGGTGCTTGTGGTCAGCAGAATTTCTCTCATGAAAATGTTAAAAAGGACATGTTTTTTCAAAACACTTCGCTGGACCAACTGTGGTGCCTCCAGATCCAGTCCTAGCTACGTTTAGCTGGGACTGGACCTGGACCGCTGTATCAGGTCCGTCTGAGCTCTTCTGAATGTAGTTAGCCCCATCAATCCATATTAGTATTGTTTGTCCTAATCCAGAATGTATACAATTCTCACACCTGAAGAAAGATGAGAGGGATTTTTTCAACTTCGTGACTATCGGAAAATAAGCACAGACGAAGCGCGTTGGGGTCCGCTTTATTATACGGCTTTGTACCAACTGAACACACAAAATAAACTTCTGTCACTATTCATGCCAAAAGGTTTATTTAATGAGTGCAAAGAAAATAGTTCCCAAAGGTTTTAGTTCACCTACTTTAAAAAAGCGATCGCTTTAGTCGCATTAAAAAAGTATTTTTGTCATGAAAACCTTAACAGATAATTCTGAAAACCTCTGTGCACGTGTGTTGTATGAATATTATATTCTAGCATTAACATTTAAATATGTTGATTGATTGTCGTTTGCGTTTACTGAGTGTGGCTAGCTCCGATAGTTTCTCTCTCAGAGACAGTAGTGGTGTAGCCCGTTGTGACCCCATGGATCTATTATAATATCGGCTGACTGTAGTTAACTAAATGATCAAACTAATTACGAAATGGACAGTACAAAAAACAACTTGATAAATGGAAGTTAATCAGAGCAAAATAAACAAAGAAGGCGCTAACATTGCAATTTAAATGACTAGATAATGTTAGCATAATCCTCACCATTACCTTTTTATCAAATCAAACTTTCTACCAGTCACTGGAAGACCACGACATTCAAGCCAACGTTTTAATTGGTCTACACTATGATCCCTGATGGTTTGATGGTGGAATTTTGCCCCTGGTTTATCATTTTCGTCTAAAGTGACAAGAGGTATTTGATTCATTTTGGCAGTGTTTGTCCGAAACATGTGGGCGGGAGTTGACAGGCGGCGGGGGCGTGTCTTAGTGACGTCATTCAGATAGTTCGCTATGATGAGTGTGTCTTGTATGTTTGTGTCCAACAGCACTGTGAGACAAATTTCTCTTCAGGGACAAAAAAGTTGAACCTTGAATTACGTTTAGCCATTTGAGATAAATAATTACAAAAGCAGAATGTAATTTCTCACTTCCACCACTAGATGAGAGTGTGGAAAATAACACAAATAAAGCCTGTTTGCTCTAAAAATCCTCTCTTCATACATACTTACTCCTCTTGCACCTATTGTAAAAGCAGCTGTGATAAGGCTCTTCTTTCCCACTTTTCTCTCTCTCTCTCTCTTATGAAAACGGATGGGGCACCTGCCTTATCGGCCCGTCTGGTGAAAACAGCAGCAATTTCTCCTCTCCTCACACTAAGCAAAACCCAAACTCACGGGATGTAACAACTCCCTTCAAAGATGGGATTGCATTTTAAGACCATTCCCTTTTCTCTTCTAACCAGCACACGGAATGCTGCTACACGTGGAGGGATTTGGGGGAAATTGAAAATGTAAGATGGTATTTTTCAGTTCTATCAGCCCTGGTTAGGTGGCTGTAGTGAAAAAAAACATAGAAAGGAGAGGCTTGTGATATGTGGACACACTTAAACTAATATCTATGTTCGCAAAAAGGGTTTCATGCACAATAAAGGACATGGAAGCAATGTGGGTCTTATGTCTGACTTTAATCTGATCCTATATTGGAATGAAAAGGCAGGTACATTCCTTTTTTCAATATTTTTATTCCATCTCAACTACTTCATGGTGATGTATTACGTATGCTATTTTGACTTGTTGTATTTTTAACCATGTTACAACATTGTACCTCATGGAGTTGTTTTTAGATCCATCAACGCTAATATCGGGAACTTCTGGCACAAACAAGAAACCAGAAGTTCTGTCTTCATGTGTTGATGTCATTGTATCACTATGACATTTCATTTCATTTTTCATTTATTCATTTATTTCAGGCAATGGCACAGGTGATATCATATAATGCAAAAAACAGACAGACACAACACACAATACACAAAAAACAGTATAAACAAAAATGTATAAACAATAAATGTACGGTATAAACATGGCCGTATAATTCTGCCTGAAAAGGAGTGGGAAGAAGAAAAAAACGTATTTAATCCCACCCCTTTATCCCCATTCAGAGATTAAACTATCAACTTCACTGTGCATAACACATAACACAAAACAGTGTTATGTGATGGCGTTACCATGGGCAACAAGGACATTTACATTGTAGCAACAATGAATACCAACAATGGTAATGAACAAAAAAACAATGGTAAAGGAACATTGAGCACATGTTACGGAGAAAATCAGATTAAATTAAAGACCCTCATTTCTATATTGTGACCAGACCTTATGTTTATAGAACAGTTTAAATTGTTGAATAGTTTTACATTGCTTGTGTTGTGAGTCCAGTTTACATCACACAACAGTTTTTTAGTATCTTAGACTTGGTACACATGGATAAATATTTAGACGTCATGGATAAAGATATCTTGTCCATTAAAATCATAATAATAATTTTGGGTCTCCCCGAGGTTTTTCCTTTCTCCCACTGAGTTTTTGAGATTGAGTTGAGATTTCTTGGTTAAAATGTTATACAAAGGGCTTTTTTGTGTTTTTATTGTTGTATTTCATAAATGTTGTAGTTGTTTGAGTTTTAAAATTAGCTGTTGGCAAATCAAAATTACTGTGATGTCCTTTAAGGTGACTGATGTTGAGATTTTGGACTATACAAAATCCAATAAAATATTCACTGCCAATGTTAGATTACACACTTTTTACACCATTCGTTCACATTCTAACACAAAGTAAATATTTTCAAGATCATGTTTAAGGGCCTAAATGAGGATGAAGTTAGTGATCAGCAAAAATGGTTGTACAACACTTTTCTTTTTCTGTTTATTTTGTATCATGTTTATACTTTAATTTGGCATATGTTTAAAATTTAATTATTACTACTGCTAATATCATTGACGCACTCAGAAAAGAAAGTTGGAGGAAAAAGTAAGTGAGCCTGAAGGAGCGAAAACGTCTATGGAGTGAGAGAATATGAATAACTCAAACATGCATATATCGCTCCAAAACCGTGTGTAAATTGCTATAACATGGTCAAGACCTGTGAAAAGTTAATTTTCCATGCTATATCCCCTTTAAATTGTACATAAAGACTGTTTTTTTTTTTGCTTCTTAACCTGCTATTCTCAATAATGGAGCAGTGAAAATGGATCCTGGCTCTGGTCTTTGTTGGAGGTGTGTGTCGGCCTTGTCTGTCTCGCTAAATTCAGTCTGGTGCCACTTTTAAGCAGGAACTGCGGAGAAAGGGCAGGTGTGAATAATGGATCAGGACAGAGAAGCTTTCCGAGGACGGGAGTGCTACAGCGACCACAGCTTCTACGAGTCTCTGCAAACTTTCAAACTAACCGAACACAAGAAACAAGGACATGTTTAGGATTGATGTACGAACCCAGGTTTGCAGCATCACATTATAATGTCTTACATAAAGTTTAGTACCACGTGCAGCTACAGTATATACAGTACTGTACATGGTTTTGAAGGACAAACATCATTTATAAAAAAACTGCATAAAGGAAAGAAGAGCACTGAAAAAACCTGAACTTTAAAGCTGCATTACCTCACTTTGTTTTTGTATTCAATATGAAAATTCAATCCATATCCATGCAGTGCATTGGGATATACGTCCTTTTCAAGAAAAAGTAGCGCAGATTTGGGCTGACGTGTCATTTTATTTTAGATCGAGTTTTTGTGCAACAAGGAAGAGAATTTGTTTCGGGTCCAGATTGTGACCAATCACAGCGGACCACTGGCCCCCGCTTTCTTGAGAAAAGCCACAGGTCTCTCGTTAGCACAGACAGCTGAGGTAAACAAGCGGCGGAGGCTAACCTGAAACTTCCCGTGTTTTTTGTTACTGGTTTCTGCTTACACAGCGAAATATCCATCCAAAAGAAAGTCTCATTCCTCTGCGCTTTCCGGTTCTATCATTCTATGGTCACGCCATCCACATTCAAATGTGCCATCCATATTGTGAGACGCAAGCTCCGTAAACAGCACATGTGCGGCTGAGTGGGAGGGGGGTAGTGGGGGGCGATAGCTCCGTGAGTGCGGGGAGGGGGAGCAGAAAGAGCGAGGCCAGCGCTCACATTCAAAAATGTATACAAAGTGAGTTAGTGCAGCTTTAAGAGTTTCTCTCTTGTTACCGGGCTTGTCACGCTGTCCCTTGTGTGACTTCATTTTATGACCTTCTTAACCCAACCCCAACTGTCAAAAGTTAAGCTGTATTTAGCATGGCAAAAACACTAGGTTGCAAGGCAAGTTAAATGTGTAAATGAGTCGTTCTGACCCACCAGCCCATGTTTTTCATTTTGCGAGGAAAGGACGATTTGGAGTCCACATTATGTCTTCTTTAAAGTAAAAATAATCAAAATCCATCCAATCAAATATCATGAACTTCTGGCACAAACACGATTCTCCCCCGTCTTTCTGTTTAAGTGCTTCAGTCTCAGTCCTAACTTCACCGTGAAGACTTTTCGCTGGCCGTAATGTTTTGGCTGCCTCTCTGTATATATAGACTTTTAGTGTTAGCAGAAGGTCAGACGGTGCCAAGACTAAACCGCCATCATACTCCCAGCGTCCTGTGGCTCTGATGGGCCCAGAGCTCATAAAACGTACAGGTCACAGAGTCCCCCGTTGCCAATAACAACGGCAGGTGGAAACAGCTGTCATTATCAGGCGCTAGGACAATCTGACATCTTCTGCTCAGCTCGTTCCCCACTGACGCCTTTTACCGCTGCAACGTTCATTGTTTTCTGAGATTTTCACTCAAGGCATTAGTCACCAGCTGGACACAAGACAGCAGCAATTTGAGATATGATAGGAATTATGTGGGATCATCTTGACATGTCACAGCAGGGGAATAGATGTATCCATAGACATGCTATGGATACGCCATGGGACGCATCATGGGAAATGGTCAATCATAGAAAATTGACCTTCTACCATGTTGTTACTTTAATAGAGAGTTCAATAACAGTGAACATGGAATAAAAGCAAACAAAACATGACTGCATTGTAAAAGCCGGTATACAGTGCATAAAATTAAATGTTGTCACAATAAAATAGGTTACTGAAAAACTCAATAAAAAAAAAACAAAAACATATTTTTATTAGGCGGTATGGTGGCACATTGGTTAGTACTTGTCGTGGATTCATTCTTCGGGTTCTCCTACCAGTAAAAACATCTACGTATAATCAGGGATGCACATAACTGGTACGCAGGTAAGTAAGTAAATAAGTAATGCTACGTGTGCTTTGAGCGCTACACGGAGGAGAATTCGTCTCCTTCGTTCGTCCAAACAAAACCACATGAAGCTCTAGTTTCAGTTTCTATTTTTGCTGCTGCTGTTAATTCAGAATGATGTTGGTGTATTCTTTCATGTGTTTGCGGCGGCTTGAGAGGGATGTTGTTGAGGAAGTGAATATACTGCTGGGGGTCGTGTGTGTTGTAAAGTTCCACTGCCCCCTACTGGTCAGGCGCTGGAACTACTTTGTTTTCCGTTGTCGTGTAGACGCTTAGCACTTTGAATAAGGAGCCAGGTCGTTTTTGCTTATTGCTTCGCGGCGTCTCCGTCTAAACAGGGCCCGAGGGGAGGGTCAGCCGGGAACGTCTCGCTGAGCCCCCTGTCAGACTGACTTTCAACTCACACTTCTGGGAGAGCTTCTACCAGGTCCTGCAGGAGGAGGGGGACATTGAGTCTGAGTGGACCACGTTCTCCTTCTCTATCGCTGATGCATTAACTCATAGCTGAGGTCAAAAGGTCTCTGGAAGTGGCAATCCCCGAACTGGGAGTCTGCACACCTCTGCTCAGACTACCACCCCTGCTACCCAGCAATGGATGAAGCAGAAGAACATAGAATGGAATGGAACTTACTGTACACATTCCCCAAATCAGGTCTAAGACAAAAGACGAGTTGTATAGTAAAACCTAGGACTAAACCCAGCCGGACCATAAAGCAGTCTGATTGGGAGCATGCTTCTGAATAAGTAGCTGGGTCAGTGCGGGCGGATAGACTTCATTAGCGCAGGCACGTAGCAGCAGAGCCTAATCTCCATTTTAACCCCAGCTTTAACAGAAGCCTCCATGATAAAGGAGCCATAGCAGCCGTGCAGAATACTGATTGTTGCTACCATTGTTATCGTCAGCGAAGGCAGCATGGCTCTCCCGTCACATACAGTATCTTTAGCTCGGTCTCTTCTCTCGTGAGCAAAAACGCCCGGGGGCCTTTCCAAAACATGCAGAGGGCATTGGCGTTTTGATAACTATCCGAATCAATCTTACAAATCCATATTTAATGAGCTGCTTTGCCAAAACCGAGGGACATTTTTCATAGAATATTCAGGGTAAAGTTATTGTGAACTTACTATCACAATATAGGCTATGGACCGTTTAAGTCTAAAGGGACGAGGAAAATTGTGAACCAGAAATGAGAAGGCAAAAAACACATTAAACACAACAAACTAAAGTGGAATAGAAAACCATGCTCAAGAAAAGTAAGTACCACTTTTTAATAGTATAACCGTCATGACATAACAGCTGGTTTCATAACTGTCATTACTGTATATATTGATCCATGAGTGTACGACTTTAGAAAGGAGAGAAGATTGTTATTTTCAGCCAAAGTAATGAGTCTTTGTGTGTGTGTGTGTGTGAGAGAGAATTGGTCAAAAACCATTGGACAGATTCAGTTGAAATTCAGTGAATGAGATGTGATGACCCCATTTATATTTCAGGATGATCTGTGGCCTTGGCGGGGTATGTGCGCACCGATTGTAGCTTCTAGTTTAGGCTGTGGTGAGCTTTCTTTCTTAAGTTGCTGCGAGAGTAGCTGTCACCTATTGGCTTCTATTCCCAGCTGTGGTTGATTGTTTGTCAGTAGGTGTAGTGGTTCTTTTGACACCCCCTCAACTGTTCGCTCCTCTTCATCAGCATCACTAATATTGTCCTCAGACTTTGAATATGTCACGGTTTAACAGAACCCAAGGCTGGACACAGGCGGACAGAGGCAGGCGGACAGAGGCAGGCAGACTGGGGCAGGCCGGACTGGGGCGGGCGGACTGGGGCAGGCCGGACTGGGGCGGGCGGACTGGGGCGAGCGGACTGGGGCAGGCCGGACTGGGGCGGGCGGACTGGGGCGGGCGGACTGGGGCGGGCGGACTGGGGCGGGCGGACTGGGGCAGGCCGGACTGGGGCAGGCGGACTGGGGCAGGCGGACAGAGGCAGGCGGACTGGGGCGGGCGGACTGGGGCGGGCGGACTGGGGCGGGCGGACTGGGGCAGGCGGACTGGGGCAGGCGGACTGGGGCGGGCGGACTGGGGCGGGCGGACAGAGGCAGGCCGGACTGGGGCAGGCCGGACTGGGGCGGGCGGACTGGGGCAGGCGGACTGGGGCGGGCGGACTGGGGCGGGCGGACTGGGGCGGGCGGACTGGGGCGGGCGGACTGGGGCGGGCGGACAGAGGCAGGCCGGACTGGGGCAGGCGGACTGGGGCAGGCGGACTGGGGCGGGCGGACTGGGGCGGGCGGACTGGGGCGGGCGGACTGGGGCGGGCGGACTGGGGCGAGCGGACAGAGGCAGGCCGGACTGGGGCAGGCCGGACTGGGGCGGGCGGACTGGGGCGGGCGGACTGGGGCGAGCGGACTGGGGCAGGCCGGACTGGGGCGGGCGGACTGGGGCGGGCTGGATTGGGGCTGGGGCGGCCGGACTGGGGCGGGCGGACTGGGGCGGGCGGACTGGGGCGGGCGGACTGGGGCAGGCGGACAGAGGCAGGCGGACTGGGGCAGGCTGGATTGGGGCTGGGGCGGGCGGACTGGGGCAGGCGCACTGGGGCTGGCAGACGGAGGCAGGTCAAAACATCCCTCCATCCATCCATCCATCCAGGGTGGGTGAAATTATGAACTGGATGTATCACAATGAAGATTCTTTACTTCTGTTGTTGTCAAAGCCTGGGAGAGGAGACAACCCTTTTGTAATTCATTTAGAGTTCCAGACCATCACTTTTACCTGTATTATAGAAACCTTTCTCACATTTTTAGAATGTTCAAGGTTTTAGCTGCATCAATCTGAATTGCTGCCTCCCCATGGGGCGTCCTGATAAGAACACAATAAACATCTCATACTCTTTACCCTGTATGAGGGTAAAGAGTAATTTGTTTTCTGTTTTTTATGTATGTGTGTGGTCTGTAGCATCAGATGTTGTTGCTTCAGTGACATTCAGTGACATATAAACCCATATGGGCTGGGCCCTCTTGTGCATGACTTAAATAAAATAAAATTAACTCAAACTGGTTCCTGGTTGCTTTTACATCCATGGGAAGAATGCATTATCAGCAGACCACGGTCTATTTGTGTCACTTTTGACTAGCTTTCTGATTGGCTGAGCGAAATAACCTACAATTTTCTTTTACATACATGCACCGGGACACAATGATTTTGGAGGTCTTTTATAGTGAATTTCACAGATAATTACAACACTTTTAAAAGCTGCATTTTGAATATTTAGCTGTAGACAACACAGTTAGCTGACCTGTCCTTCAGCTGGGGTTGTTTGTGTTCTTTTTCATATACGTGAGACTAATCTGAATAGATACTGTGCTTTAGTATTTCCACAGCAGAAATCTGAAGAACCTGACAGCTTTCACCTCTTTCTTTGTGAAGTTTTTGATGCTGTTGATGTTATTAGCTGTAATTATAGACATATTCAACATATTCAACACATTCGGCTTTCTGAGCTTATGTTTTTCCACATAAAAAACAGACTCTCTAATAAGAAAGTGAAATGCACTCAAATTAATGTATGTTATGTTTTTATTTGAATAGAGACAGTGCACAATGTTACATTGACCAAGAAAGGAAAGATTCCTTGTACCAGGTTATTTCAGAACTACTAGTTTCCACCAGTGGTAAGATAAATGCCTACTTCAAGTGAGTCTTTTTTGGTCAATTTCAACAGAGACAAGATTTTTTGTTTTACTTTGACAGAGCTAAGTAAAGTAACATGAAATTGTTTTAATTTAGAAAAAAAATGAAAATTGATTTATAATAAACAGACGAAGCGCAGTCCAGAAGACACCATGGACAGCACTCATACAAAAACAGTGACGTCGCCCGGCATGGCGCAGCCGGGGCCCCACCCTGGAGCCAGGCCTGGGGTCGGGGCTCGTAGGCGAGCGCCTGGTGGCCGGGCCTTAGCCCACGGGGCCCGGCCGGGCTCAGCCCGAATGGACGACGTGGGCAGTCCCTCCTGTGGGCCCACCACCTGCAGAGGGGTCCGTGGTGGCATGGTGCAGAGAGGACTGGGCAGCAGTCGAAGGCGGAGACCTCGACGACCCAGTCCGCACACACAACATCTCGGGGTCTTGTTCACGAGTGAGGGAAGAATGGAGCGTGAGATTGACAGGCGGATCGGTGCAGCGTGCGCAGTGATGCGGTCGCTGTATCGGACCGTTGTGGTGAAGAGGGAGCTGAGCCGAAAGGCAAAGCTCTCGATTTACCGGTCAATCTTCGTTCCCTCCCTCACCTATGGTCATGAGCTTTGGGTAATGACCGAAAGAACGAGATTGCGGATACAAGCGGTCGAAATGAGCTTCCTCCGCAGAGTGGCTGGGCGCTCCCTTAGAGATAGGGTGAGGAGCTCAGTCACACGGGAGGAGCTCGGAGTAGAGCCGCTGCTTCTCCACGTCGAGAGGAACCAGTTGAGGTGGCTCGGGCATCTGTTCCGGATGCCTCCTGGACGCCTCCCTGGGGAGGTGTTCCGGGCACGTCCCACCGGGAGGAGGCCCCGCGGAAGACCTAGGACACGCTGGAGGGACTATGTCTCGCAGCTGGCCTGGGAACGCCTTGGGGTCCCCCCGGACGAGCTGGAGGAAGTGTGTGTGGATAGGGAAGTCTGGGCGTCTCTGCTTAGACAGCTGCCCCCGCGACCCGGCAACGGATAAAGCGGAAGAAAATGGATGGATGGATGGATGGATGGATTTATAATAAAACTAAAAATGTGTTTGAGTCGCATCGCTTTTGCTTTGTTTTGGTCAAAATTTATACAAAAACAAATCAAAAAAGGTATTAAATGTATACAGTTCATCAAAAGAATAATCCCTCCACTAATTTTCATAATAATAGTTATCACACAGTTCAGGAAGCTTCATGTGGTCTTCTTAGTTTAAAAGGTTAATTCATCACTTCCTCGTTACACAGCCCGAATGGATAAACAATAAGTAATCACCTCACATTCTAAAACATGACACGCCAAAGTAAATAGTCTACTTATCGTGCACCACATTTCTTCCTGCAGTCACCTTTCTAGTGTCAGTTTGGAATGTATGATTGCTCTCCTCCTCTGTCCACTCTCATGATGGATCGTCTCATCACGGTCACATAATGAGAAGAAGCTTTCCACTTGTCTCCACAGTGCAGAGCCAGCAGTCTGCACTCCACTCCCACGTCCTCTGCTCAAACACACCGCCGCACTTCTACAAGGACAAGATGGTCCCAGATATGAAGCCCTGCGCCAGGCTTTAGTGTCACCAAGATATGCACCCAACTTCAACGGAGACGACATTTGTGATGATGGGAAGAGTGAGATGAAATTGAATCTCCACACGATATGCTTTGTCGCTGTACTACTGTGTCTCTCCATGGCCTCGCACCAAAGTACATACATTTATTATATGTTAGTGACGTATGGGACTCTGAGGAGCACAGGGACTGACACATCTGCTAAGACTCTGAGGAGCACAGGGACTGACACATTTCCTGGGACTCTGAGGAGCACAGGGACTGAGACATCTACTGAGACTCTGAGAAGCACAGGGACTGACACATCTGCTGGGACTCTGAGGAGCACAGGGACTCACACAGCTGCTGGGACTCTGAGGAGCACAGGGACTGTCACATCTACTGGGACTCTGAGGAGCACAGGGACTGTCACATCTTCTGGGACTCTGAGGAGCACAGGGACCAACACGTCTGCTGGGTCTCTGAGGAGCACAGGGACTGACACGTCTGCTGGGACTCTGAGGAGCACAGGGACTGACACATCTGCTAAGACTCTGAGGAGCACAGGGACTGTCACATCTGCTAAGACTCTGAGGAGCACAGGGACTGACACATCTGATGGAACTCTGAGAAGTACAGGGACTGACACATCTGATGGGACTCTGAGGAGCACAGGGACTGTCACATCTGATGGGACTCTGAGGAGCACAAGGACTGACACATCTGATGGGACTCTGAGGAGTAGAGGGACTGACACATCTGATGGGACTCTGAGGAGCACAGGGACTGACACATGTGCTAAGACTCTGAGGAGCACAGGGACTGACACATCTGCTAAGACTCTGACGAGCACAGGAACTGACACATCTGATGGGACTCTGAGGAGCACAGGGACTGACACATCTGATGGGACTCTGAGGAGCACAAGGACTGACACATCTGATGGGACTCTGAGGAGTACAGGGACTGACACATCTGATGGGACTCTGAGGAGCACAGGGACTGACACATGTGCTAAGACTCTGAGGAGCACAGGGAGTGACACATCTGCTAAGACTCTGACGAGCACAGGAACTGACACATCTGATGGGACTCTGAGGAGCACAGGGACTGACACGTCTGCTGGGACTCTCAGGAGCCCAGAATAAGGGCGCCCCGTGGGGAGGGGCATTACAGATTGATGGAGCTAAAACCTGGAACATTCTTCCTAAAAATGTAAGAAAGGTTTCTACAATCCAGGTTTAACAGTCCTGTTAAACCCTGAGTATGAACTGTTTCTATACAAATGAACTTGGTACAGTTGAAATTTTTGACAAAAAACGTTCAAACACACTATTCAGACATAATCAAACACAGACATTTTTCATCAAAAAATAAGACAAAAACCTGATCGCTCACTTCGTCTGTGGAGCAGAGCCATTGCGTTAGAAGAAGAAGAAGAAGAAGAAGAAGATGGAGAAGGAGAAGATGGAGAAGGAGAAGGAGAAGGAGAAAATTAAGATGGAGAAGGAAAAGGAGAAGAAGAAGAAGATGGAGAAGGAGAAAATTAAAATGGAGAAGGAAAAGGAGAAAATTAAGATGGAGAAGGAGAAGAACAAGAACAAGATGGAGAAGGAGAAGGAGAAGATGGAGAAGAAGAAGGAGAAAATTAAGATTGAGATGAAAGTTAAGATGGAGAAGGAGAAGAAGGTCCTTTATTCGTCCTGCAATGGGGAAATTTCAGTTTGATGCATACACACACACACACACACACACACATCAAAGCAAGCAGCAAACATCACTTCCACACTCCTTATAGGCAAAGTGGGTTAAGTGTCTTGCCCAAGGACACAACGACAGCAGACATCAGTGGGAATCGGTGGAGAAGGTCTCATGGTGGGCTCGAACCCACAACCTTCTGGATCAAAGGCCAATGCTCTACCAACTGAGCCACCGTCGCCCTGTGTTAAGGGATTTAGATAATTATTGAGATTCAACATGTCCTAAACATATGGAATGGGTGTCAGATTATCACTGTACAGCCGGCAGAAGCATGTTGCGCCCTCTCCTTATGCAGGGTACATCAGCGGCTTGTTCCCAACCATAAGTCAGTCCACGATAGCGTTTAGACAGAGTTTATATAAGCTCTGCCACTGTCTGAACGATGCTATCTGCGCTCCCCTGCAGCAGACCACGCACGCTCCCATCTATCATTAAGAAGAGGCTGCAGATGCTTTCAAAGTCTCCAGGCAAAATGGGATATCTATCAATCCGTTGTCAAACCCACAGAGCGCTCCAGTTTATTAAATGCCAACATATCTTTAGGATGAATAAGTGAGAGCTGCAGCTTTGAGAATTGTCTTCAAGTCTGGGAAGTATAGGGGCTAATGGTGGAGGAGATAGATGGCTTTTGATATGAGAAAAATAACATAGTGACATTTGATATATTGGCAATAGTCCTGATACCGGATAACCGCGTGCTTTATCTGTATGATTGTTTGTATTGCTTATAACTAGAGTAAACTTCTCTTGCAAAGAAAAGAAACAAACTTTGTACTGACAAGCATGCAGAAGGACTGAAATAATATCACACCCAACAGTCAGCCCTCATAAATATCTTCATATGGACATTTATCAACATTTATGGACTGGAATCAAAGTGTTTTAACCAGGAATTAGTGGTATAGATTTTATTAAATAGTTAGATTGTCCACAGTCTGAAAAGTTAGGTACCTAAGCTTTAAAGAATAAATATTATGCATTATTCATGTATTTATATATTTATTTATTCAGCCATGACATTATTACAATCATAATGAAAATAATAAGAACACAAATAGTTCAATTCTATAACATGTTGCTGAATAGGAGCATATGTTTCATGTCCCTTAACACATACAGTATTTATTTGACAGATTAGAAATAGGATGGCTCGCCTTTATATGTTTATTATCATTATTATTATTATTTTATTTTTATATATATATTTTTTTCCTTTACACATAGCAATCTTACACTTTGCTGCAGTTATTGTTGATTTTATTGTGTTTACCTCTATTTTGTAGGAATTTTTGAACAACCAATCATTTACCATAATTTGCAAGTACTTTTTTTTAATACATTTTCTTCAACTGTACAATGGAGCTACAGGATTGTTTACAGGGATCCAGAGAGTTCCAAAGCTTAATACCTGTTGCAAGGAAACCTTTCTGTTTCAAAGTGGTGCGTGAAAAAGGCACACAAAAATGTCCTTTCCTTCTGTTACTACTGTCTGTGATTAAAAATAATGTATTATGGATGTGCACTGGCACCAACTTGTTCTTCACCCTCCACATTGTTTGAGTAATTTTGAAGTGAACAAGATCTTTGAATTTTAAGAGTTGTAATTGTGTGAAGAGATTATTTGTGTGGTCTCTGTGGCAGATGATTCTTACGGCTTTCTTTTGAAGTAGATATAACTTTTCTGTGGCCATAATACTAAAATGTCCCAAACCTCGATGTAATAGGTAAAATAAGGAACAATAAAGAGTTGTATATAACAACATCAATGAAGCCTTGTCTAGAGTATGTCTGACCTTATACATTACTGTATGCCAATACTTTTACTTACATTTTTTCTGATGTAGTCAACATGTGACTTCCAACAGAATTTGTTATCAAGGATTATTGTTGTTCTATAAAATTCATTATTGTATTCCATTTGTCATTTCATTTTTAGAATGTGAAAAATAATCTCAGGTGGGAAAAAAATCTACCACCAGAGGAAGAAGTTGAATATGTTTTATTTTTTTCCATGACAAATTTCAGAAAAACTAATTTCCTTTGTTTCAGAAACAAAACTGCTATGAGCGTGACCTGTCCTGCTATTACAGACTGAGACAGGAGCTTTTAGACACAAGGAGCAGTTAGAATATTCCGATGTTAGTATGGATATATATAATAACAACTGACTGATTTATATGAGGTTTGTAACTGTAGATGTTTTTGTAAACTGAGGGAGCTCTCTTGTTTGAAAGACTAATGACCCATTGGTTCATTTCATAACTACGCCTGAGCCCCCATGGCGTCTGGCTGACGTCTTCAACTGAGCAATCATCTGTAATTACAGCAAAGACAGATCTTCAACTGGAAACATGAATGTGCCTCGGCGAGAACAAGCCCTCTTAAATGGTTCCTCCTGCATCAGGGACCTTTTCTGGGTAACTTGGGGCAAAAAGTCTCATTTGCCGATGTGAAAACACACCAAACAATTGGAAATGTGTCCTGCTTTCCGCCAGTTTGCCCTGGGGCAGCTGTGCCTACTATAGTAGCTCCATGTGTGGCGTAATTAAGTAAACATTGCAAAGCTCCCAAATCACTTTTCAGTTCGTTATCCATTCTCTCCACACACCGTGATGCTATGCCACTGTTGCCACAAATGTCCCGGGGCAGACTGACAGCGCGAGGCTGTTAATCTGCACCATCAGTTCCTGCAATAACAAAGACTACTTACGTATTTATTGTTGTGAAGCAATGTTTGTCAAATTCAAATCAATTCAATGCATTCTTTTATCGCTCTAAATCACAACAGTAGTTATCTCGGAGGACTTTACTACACAGTTGAATTTGGTAACACAGATCAGAGAATCAAACAGTTCAAACACAAGAAATGCAATAATAAATAAAAAACACATAGAGCCATTGGTCCATAAAGGGCAGATGACCAATGTCCATAAATGTTGATTAATGTCCGTCGATGTGATTAAGAAAAGATAAGAGTACCTTTTATTTGTCTCACAGTGGGTAAAATTCAATATTGCAGTGCACATAGATAGATAGATAGATACTTTATTGATCGCCCGTAGGAGAAATTCAGGTGTCCAGTAGCAGCAAAAATAAAACATAAAATTGATCGTCCTAAAGAGCTAACAATAGTAATAATAAGCATACATACAGGGAGCACATGACTGTATTTACTATTTACAGACATCCTTATAAGATAGAAGCAGTGTAAAACTATTCAGATTCTGGTTTGGCTCTGATTTAGACTTTGCTCACTTCTGTTTTAGACCTGGCTTTAACAGGACGTTTGAGGCATGTGGAATCTTTGCAGGTGCCGATTTTCCGTCAAAAGTTGAGAACCACTAAGGCAAAGCTGTTCCTAATGATAAAATACATACCAAAATACATAAAATACATACAAAATACATACAAATAAGGTCAAATAAGTATATAATCACAAAGGAAGTGAGTCCCAGTAAAGGCTTAGACCGAACGCACACTCTTTCTTTCATCATAAATACTTGAGACCAAGTGAAAAGCTTCAGACGTGTGCCTCAATAATATCACAGACAAAGTGTATTCCTCTGCTCGTCTCTGTTTGTGCAAAAAGGAAAAGAAGAAAAACATTGTTGAAGATCTTGCTCGGCTGCGTGCGTCTCCACAAGCATGCATTTTCAATTTGGTACGGCCTTAGTTCCTGCAGATCTGTGGAGTTGCCCATTACCACGGCAGGTGCTCTCACATTTCCCATTTCACATTCACTTGGCTCCAAAACCAAAGCCAAACATTTGTGAAAGTGTGTGCGGGGCATCTATCGGGGGACTGTGCCAACTCGACTGTTAGGTGGGCGGAGGACGAGATTTTTGAATTAACCGTATGGAAAATAGGGCGTTTTTAACCAACAGCCAGTGAGAGGCACTGAGCTGTTTGTGTAACTAAATTGCGTATGATAGTGGGACTGTTATAGGGGCTCTATGTGATATTACTTCAAGGCCAAAGCCGAAGAGAAGTAATGAAGCATGTTAAAACCTGCTTGGCTAGAGAACAGAAGAAACCATAAAACCGAGATGGTAAAATGTACCTGGCTACACTGGTGGTAAACTCCCTCAGACTGACTTCACAGCTCTTTTATATCCCCTTAAGTCCCAAATATCAGTCACAGGGGTGGTCTCTAACTCACTTAACTGAGACGTATACAGTAGTTATGGAGTCAATGAATAATGACATATGAAGTGTCTTTGAGTGTACAAAAAAGCGCTAAATGAAATAATTATTTCTTTGCTTGCAGGTTTTCTCTCTTGTATCAAAGTAATATTTAAGATTGCGTAATTGAAAAAAAAAGCACAAACCAACCTTTAATACAAAATCCCAAGCCTCCCCATCCACACGCTCTGGTCCAAAAACCAAAGTGTGTGAGTGATGTGGAGCAGTCCTGTTCCTAATTATAGCAAATACAATTAAAAAAGTCTCACTAAAACCTTTGTTTCATAAAAGGGTCTAACTATAAAGACCGTGGTGATGATCCAGGACACTCGACATGGACATTTATCAACATTTATCAATATTTATTAAAATGTATGGACATGGGGCATACAGGTATGAACATTGTCCATAAATGTTGATAGATGTCCATGAATGGTTTTATTAAAGTGAGACGTTTTTAATTGCATTTCATATGGTTATTTTGTGTATAATAAATTAAAGGAGACATGTCAAAAAACTTTTTTTGAACTTTAAAAAAAAATTCTACATTGTTCCCTAATCAGTAACAGACCTGGAATTGTTTTTAGATCCATCCGCACTAACACACCTAACACCTAACTTTGCCCCCTCAGTCTAAAAGCTTCTGCCACAGTCTGGTGTGACATCACACTCAGTTTTTTTTCCATTTTGGGGGTGAAATGACAACCACATGCCTGTGTTGGCAGCTGGTAATTTTCAAATTTGGAAAAGAACAAAAAAGAAAACTCTGGTGGTAGGATAGGGAG